CTCTGTAGTGTCGAAGAATTTTACATATCGTCCTCCTATCTACACTGTCAAATGCCTTCTCATAATCAATGAAGTTGATGTAGAGTGACGAGTTCCACCCAAATGATTGTTCGACGATGATCCGTAGTGAAGCAATCTGGTCTGTTCACGACCGGTCTTTACGGAATCCAGCTTGTTGATCTCGAAGTTGAGCGTCTACTGTGTCCTTCATCCTGTTCAGTAACACTCTGTTGAGGACTTTTCCTGGTATTGACAGTAGTGTAATGCCTCTGTAGTTTTCACACTTGCTCAGGTCTCCTTTCTTTGGAATCTTGATGAGGTGTCCCTCCTTCCAGCCCATCGGCAGTTGTTCTTCTTCCCAAATCTTCTTGAATAGAAGATGAAGCATGGTTGTAGTTACTTCGATGTCTGACTTCACTGCTTCAGCTGGTATATTGGCAGGTCCTGCTGCTTTCCCGCTCTTGATTTGTCTGATGGCCATTCTGATTTATACTGTCGTTGGTGGATTGACATCTATAGGGAGATCTGTGTGTGCTGCTTCGACGTCCGGTAGATTCATTGGCGCCGGCCTATTCAACAGTTCCTCGAAGTACTCTGCCCATCTGTTCCGCTGTTGCTGAATCTCAGTGATTGGTTTTCCTTCTTTGTCTTTGACTGGTCTCTCTGGTTTACTGTATTTCCCCGCTAGTTTTTTTGTTGTATCGTAAAGTTGTTTCATATTTCCTTTTCTTGCAGCTTTCTCCGCCGTCGTTGCTAGTTCTTCCACGTATTTCTGCTTGTCGGCTCTAATGCTCTTCTTCACTTGCTTGTTTGCTTCTATGTATTCAGCTTGTGCTTGGACTTTCTCTGCTCGTGTTCGGCTATTGTTAATTGCTGTCTTCTTGTTCTTCCTTTCTTTGATCCTGTCCAGTGTTTCTGTAGAGATCCATTCCTTGTGATGATGCTTCTTGGGGCCAAGAACCTCTTGACACGTTGAAGTTAATGCTTCTTTGATACCTTTCCAGTTATCCTCCATAGTAGTTTCTTCTTCCTTCAGTAGATTCTGTAGGGCTTGGAACCTGTTGTTGAGAGCTATCTTGAATTCATTGAGTTTGTCGGTATCTCGAAGGAAGGCTGTATTGAACCTTTGCAGCGCTGTTTGTCCAGTTGTCCAGTTCTTCTTTAGCTTCAGTTTCAATTTGGCCACAACTAGGTGATGATCTAAAGCTATGTCCGCTCCTCTCCTGGTTTTCACATCTTCCATTGTCCTTCGGAACTTTTTATTGATGCAAATATGATCTATCTGGTTCTCTGTGGTGTGGTCCGATGAGATCCATGTAGCTTTGTGTATACGTTTGTGTGGAAATATTGTGCCGCCTATGACCGATTTGTTTAATGGACACAAATTTGCGAATCTTTCCCCGTCTTTGTTTCTCTCTCCTAGTCCATGCAGTCCCATGATATCTTCATATCCGACTTTGGCGTTCAGATCTCCCATCAGAATGGTGAGGTCTTTTCTTGAGAACTTCTCTACGATTGATTGTAGCCTCTCATAGAATTGATCTTTAACGTCGTCGTTGCTATCATTGGTGGGTGCATACCATTGAATAATGTTCATTGTGATCCCCTCCTTCTTTGTTTTGAATGATGCTTTGATGATTCTGGATCCGTGAGATTCCCATCCTACAAGTGCATTTTGTGCTACTTTGGACAGCATTAGAGTGTGTGGAGCATTTTCCTCTTCGTGATCGGAGTATAGCAGCATCTCTCCCGTATTTAGCCTTTGTTGTCCAGCTTGGGTCCAATGGGTTTTGCTTATTCCCAGTACTGCCAAGTTGTATCTCCTCATTTCCGCTGCTATTTGACTGGTCTTTCTGGTCTCCCACATTGTCCGGACGTTCCATGTACCTATAAGAATTGTTGCTCTGGTTGTTAGAAGGGACATCGACCTCATGGCTTCCGAAGGAACTCGGCTTTCACCCTGAGGCGTCATATTTCTTCTAAATGAAGACCTTCTAACTCCCAGGGCTAGATGGCTTGAATGGTTTGAATTATTTTTTCTCGTTAGCGTTCTTTTAGCGAGTTAGTTTTCTACGGGATGGGGACGCTAACCCCATGCCCAACCCACTTCCTTTATCCGGGCTTAGGACCGGTAGTAACTCTAGGAGAGCTACAGGCGGAGTTATAGTAGAAACTTGGATAGCATTTAATTAATAATAATAATAATATTGGTAAGCCATAAATGTTTGTACTTTCGAAAAGTATATCTAAATGAGAGTTATTAATAAATCTATGTTTTTGTGAATAAAATTTCTATTAAACATAACATTAATGAACAAAATTACAAATATTTTTCGCATGATGATACTAAATGTTACATGCAATAAGTAATAATGAATCAAATAACACTTTGAATAAATAGAAAACGATAATTGTTTTGTTTAAAGGGTCATAAATAGATGGTGTTTCAATTATATGTTCATAAAATCAATCATGAAAGAACATTTCATCACAATAAATTATTCAGCAAATATATAATTACACAATAATACAGTAATAATATTTATTTTGTGTAAGTATTTAAAATATTATCCTTGTTGATACCAAGGACTGCAAATGGTCAGTGTTTTTCTCGCCATAATTCTACACTGAGCGGATAACCTCAATAGTGATATCAAATCACAAGTTTTTAAGTAAAGAGACAGATCATTTCCAATCCTTAAGATTAAGAATGGGGAAATTTAGACCCTTACAGATAAGGTAAAATTCATTCCTATTGCAAGAACTAGTGGTTATCTTGACTCAGTAGCTAAGTGGATAACGTGTTGAGTTCTTGAAGAGAAAGGTACTCTGTTTGATGTGAATGTCAACACTGGGATACAGTAAATCCATGTGACAACTGTCAAATTGGACAAAATGTGAATCATAGATTCACCCATTAGTCACTACCCAACTTTATTTAATGACGTCTATCGCCTAACAAATTAAATTTAATTACATTATTTTTACTACATATTTACAGGTTGTCTAATTTCATTTGTTTTCCAAAAAATAAAAATACAAAAGAAGTCATTTTAAGAAAATGATGAACTGAAATTCAGTTTTATAACAAAAAATTTAGTCAAGAAACGATTGATTGAGATCTTGAACCGATTGCTATTAGACCACCATTGGAAACCTGGAAGCACTGGACGGCCGTTTCGTCCCGTCGCGGGACTTCTCAGCAGTTCGCATCCACCGCACGGAATACCATGTGCTCACTAGTGACTAACTTCGTGAGGGAATTCTCGGAGTTCTAGTGAGAAACTGTGACCAGTGGAGTTATTTCGTGTTAGTAGAGATAAGTATCTACCTTAGACAATGGAAGATGGTCGTGGAATTTCGTGGATCGGTTAAGGTTAGACATTAACACCGTTGATGCCGGCTCAGTGGTCAAGTAGGTTAAGCGTTCGCGCGCATGATTGGATGTCCTGGGCTCGGATATCGCGAGCGGGATCGTGCATGTGCACTGCTGAGAAGTCCCGCGATAGGACGAAACGGCCGTCCAGTGCTTCCAGGTTTTCAATGGTGGTCTAACATCAATCGGTTCAAGATCTCAATCAATAACTTAATAATCTCCACAACCCTATACTGATACAAAGCAATTGATCATAGTATTAGAAAATAATTATGTTTCAGTTAGTTTCACTGTTCTTTTGGTGACAGAAAAATAAGCAATTTTGAAATGGGAAAGTTTCGTAACTTAGGTAAATTGTTGATACAGCTAGTTCAACTGACAGGAATGTTTTAATTAAGAAACTTTGATTGTTAGTATAAACAGCATTACCAGGACCTACTTCAAGTGAAAAGAACCCTTTTTTAAATTTATTTCGTAAGTGCTATAAAATTTGTTTCTGATAATTTCATGTATGACTGGTTGTCATTTTCACCTGTTTCTACTATCTTTAATTATTCTATAGACTGCTTTTAGACTGTATTGATTTAACCTGTTTGTATAAGCTGAAAAGCTGATTCCATTTTGATGTATCATTCATTATTAAGTCGACCTGAATGTATTGCTTCTTTAAATTCTTTGGGATTTTTGGACTTCTTTTAGTTATAATGTTTGAGTTTTACTAATCGAATTTGTATCCGTACTTGTTGGTTTGTACTGATATTAGTGATGTACTATTGTGTCCTTTTAAATTGTATTCTACGTTTTTAGATGGCTAAGGGAAGGGGGATCTCCGGTAAATGACGTAGTGCTTCTTACAGTATGTGCGATTTGTTGCGTAGATAATCTTGTATTTATTTTCATCCGCTGTTTTGACTTTGATTCTGCATAAAGTGAGGTGAACTAGTCGGGTTAGGTTTTAATATTCACTATTTACTAGGGGATTCGAAGTGATGTTACTAGAAACGACTATGAAAGCTTAGCGGTTAAACCATTCAGCTAAAAAAATATATAACACAACTAGAAGATTCATCCTTATTTTAGTATTACAGTTCGTTTCATTCAAACTTATATACATAGGCATACACTCGGCTCAATTATTTATGAAACCAAGTAATTGTCAAAAACCTGATTATATGAAGGTACTGGAAACGAGTATTGAGGGTTAAGGACATTTATTCTGACGAAAAAATGTTATCCAAGTAATTATATTTCAGACTGAGTAGAACTGCATTCAAGGACCTACGTCTGAAACTCCAAATACTGTATTTGAGTTTCAGTTTGAACATTAACACTGGAATCCAGGTATATCTAGATAAACATTTTACAAAAAAATGAAATCCATATCCCACATTCTACTTTAATCAGTATTATGGGAAATAAACGATTTATAAATGCTGGAAATATCGTGACATTCATTCATATAGCCCATACTACATCTGAGACTGGTTAATCCATTTGTTTAAATCGACAGCACAAAAGTACGAATCCCTTAGACTAATAATATAAATTGTCTAGCTCAACACTTATATATCTATTTTTTTCTAACATATTGTACATTTACATATAATTTTATTTTAAATTTTAGTCCAGTCCCGAAACCAATGAATTAATAAATCCAATTCTGGATAAAGCTATTTACGTTGAACCATATGGATTATTAATTGTGGGCAATTTTATGCTAGCGTTCTTGAATTTATCACGTAAGTCATCATAAATGTATAAATTTTTACTACAAATTATACAAATAGTCGAAGAGTCTCATTAATTCGGTTCAAAATGATTTATCCCACAACAACCACCACCAGAAAATGCAACAACTATATTTTTAGTAGGGATTTCGACAATACTTCAAAGTCATCTCTTGTTGTGAAACATTTTAGCATAAATCAAACAAAAGATCTTGAAAGAATTGATCTTGAGTTCTTCCCACTTGTAAGTAATAATGATATTAATCAGTGCGTTAATTTGTCTTACTACAATCACTATAACTTTCTATGTAGAAAAAAAACATCCAATGAAATAACTACAACATTTGGTTTATAAAAAATTCATTATATTTTCTAAAATATAAATGGTAGTTCTAATTTTTTTCAGTGTACTTTAAATTGAATTCAATAGGATATATTTTGTAGGCAAATGATTGAACATAATGAGAATTTCTGGTATCACTTTACATATTATTATGGTTTATAAGTTTTCATAGTTAATATCATAAGCAAAATACTGTTACTTCTGTTTTGTTACTTTTGACAAAATATCTTATAATTGAACTATGTAATACTTACTTACTTACTTGCGCCTGTTACTCCTCGTGAAGGAGTATAGGCCGTTCACCAGCATTCTCCATCCAACTTTGGCCTGGGCAATTCTTTACAGCTCTTTCCAGTTGTTATTCATCTTTTACATATCTGCTTCTATTTCCCGACGTAATATGTCCTTTGGCCTTCCTCTTTTCCACTTTCCTCCAGGATTTCAAGTTAAGGCTTGTCTCGTAATGCAGTTTGATGATTTACGTAATGTATGTTCTATCCATTTCCATCGTCTTTTCCTAATTTCCTCTTCCGCTGGAAGCTGGTTTGTTCTCTCACACAGGAGGCTGTTGCTGATGATGAACTATGTAATAGATTATTTTAAATGTTTATATGGAAACAGAAATAGACCTTTGGATTATAATTTATACACCTATATTTAAGATTGCCAAGTAAAAGGAAAACTTAAAAATAAAGCTACTAATCATCTATTTATCGATTGTAAAGTATATTTTGGATCTATGAAATAGTATTACCTTTAAGTCAGGGTCGAGATGACGTTTTTTTAGTAAATACTATCGTGGAATACAATGTAGATTTAGAAGTTATAGCAACTCACGTGCAATCGAGTTTGTTCTTATTTAATTCGGTTAAGCCCTTTTGTTGACTTATTTAGCGGACAAAGTCATCTGTACTATAACAACTTATTGCACGTTGATTATTTTTGTGTCTGTATGAAAGATGCATGCTTGAACATTGTTTACCGCCTACGCATATATTCATTCTGCTAGCTTTATTATTAGCTGCTTAATCGATTCGATGATCCATTCATTTCCCTCTCTCTCTCTCTCTCTCTCTCTCTCTCTCTATATATATATATATATATATATATATATATATATATATATATATATATATATATACATTTAACACTCTCAGTTCGCTGACTCCTTCATTCGCCTCCCTGATTTGTGGTTTGAGTTATCTGCTAATAAACCTGTAGTCGCTGCTTCTCTTTGCCTTCTGATTTCAAACACCGTTGTGGATTATATGATAACGGTTACGAGGGTGATTGGTTAACGAAGCACAGCCACTACAAACTTTCCACCTGTGATTGTTATAACTTGTGGCCTGAGTGCTCTGTTAATGTATAACGTAACGATACCGCCAATTAGAGGGCAGTGAATTATCGATCGGACCAGTGACGCATAGTACTTAACGGTCCTGCTTCCTGTCTAGCCCAGCCAGTCAAGTCCAGAACACAAATCCCAGCCTCTGCAATATGGATCGTTTATTTCAAGCATAGTGGGTTTATATACCAACCAAACAGACCACATCGTACCATAAAATGGAAAATAACATTTGTACAAGATCTAGCCAAATGTGACTGTGAATGTGGGAGGTAGTGATTAATAGACAGAGCATAATTCAAGAATGGTAAATCGTATAATAATAGTCCATAGGTCAAAATAAAGCTCATAATAAGAGAGACATGAATATGAACAGTTTAGTTATTTAACAATTATAAGATAAAAGTATGCGCATAGTATTGGTCCATATATGGATCCCAAAAATTACCATTCATTATGCATATCGGAGCATAACAGTAATATATTGAGTTGTTTTAAAATTAATCCAATGCTTTACTCATCTCATTGTTTTCTATCTTTTGTTAAGCATATTTATTTGTTAAAGTGTTTGTATTTTTATTACATCAAGGAAGAATGGGAATTTTTTTGAGCTCTCTGAAACATCTAATTGACTGAAATAATAGTTAATTACTCTTTTAACTACTTTTTTCATACTTAAATTATGATTATTTTGTTATTACGCTATTTCTTGATCATCACTGATTTATCATGAGTCGAATGCACTTGTTAACTAAATGTTTGTGATACTATAAGTCACTACTTTGTATTTACATTTCATGTAAGTAGATAATATTAGAAAGATCAAACTAATCAATATATATATATATATATATATATATATATATATATATATATATATATTACTTATGCATAGTGTCTAACAAAGATTGTTTTTCTCATGACTTGAACCTTTCATATATGTATATGGATATCTTAGCATTCTGTTTAAACTGAAGGGCTAATTTTAAAGGTAACTGAGAAAGCAATTTAGTAAAATTTTCTAATTAACAAAATGTGATTAATACAAATCTATAATAAACTAGTATTGGATGTCGCCTGAGAAGTTAAATGTAAACTTATTACTATTTGTTCAAGTCTGAAGACATTATGAAAATAGATTGTATAGTTATGTATGTTTTATTAAAATTATCAATTGCGTATAAGTAGAACAGGTAAATACGGTTATTTCAGACTTGAATACATCAATAATGTCTGAATAACTATAAGTATGACATATACTTATTTTAAGCAATTAATAAGTAGTATCGTATATTGAGTCTGTCGAAATTTACATGAACTCTTGATTTAGTATGCATGAGTAATAAGTCATTTTTTAAAATTATCTCCGTTTAGCTGAATATTTTGGCTGCTTTTATGTATTTCTATTTACAAAATATAATCTAATTAAAATTGATAAAAAATATCTGTCGCTATTACAATACATTAGCAATTTATAAAATTACGAGATACTAGTAGGGCGGTAAAAATAAAACGTCAATTGGATCGATAAAGTTAATTAATTTTATTGACAAACAGATAATATCAGAAGGGGTTTTGTGGAGATTTTAGAAATTTCACTGATTGAAATCATGAGTCAATTGAAGTTAGACAACCATGGAAAACCTCGAAGCACTGGACAACCGTTTCGTTCTAGTATGGGACTCCTCAGAAGTTCGCGCCTATGAACCCGCCCCGTGGGATTTGAACCCAGGACCTATTGGTCTCACGCTTAACCTCTATTTATTGAAATAAAGTTGTATTTTATAGTATGCTTGAGCGTTCAAAAATACTTTCGATAGTGTACGCTTACTTTCAACTGAATGATTAGTTTTCTTCCATCTTTTGCTTTAACTGAATCACTTACTTGATATACCGCCTTCAAAGTAGACTGTAGCTTTATGTCAGCAAACCTAAATATTAAGCGTGAAACACGACTTGTTACTCTTTCAGAGTCATATTACTTTATTAATAACCGCCACCATAAGTTTTATACAAGAAAAGTAAATTGATTTCTAATTCAGAGTGTAATTTAATTCTGCCTTAATAATAATAATAATAATAATAATCTTTTTCTAATTCTGTTTGTTATACAACAATCATAGTTTTTCTCACTACAACCTGGTCAATTGCGAGATAGTAACTCACTGGTGACAATGGTGGATGTGTCGCTCAATTTCACGGATTAGTTGAAGTTAGACATTAACACCGTTGGATGCCGGCTCAGTGGTCTAATTGTTAAGTGCTCGTGCGTGAGACCAGTAGGTCCTGGTTCGAATCCCGTGAGGCGGGATCGTGGATGCGCACTACTGAGAAGTCCCACTAAGGAGTCCACGACAGGACGAAACGGCCGTCCAGTGCCTCCAGGTTTTCCATGGTTGTCTAGTTTCTATTGACTCATGATTTCAACAATTGAAATGACTAAAATCTCCACAAAACCCCCTTCTGATAAAATGAAATACTAAGTTTTATTTATTTATTTCTTTTTGTACAAATTTCCTAAACCACAAAGATCATTATTATAATCTTTCGAAAAAAATTGTTTTAATATACCAGGCAATTCAATTGGTATGAACGGTTTGAAGGCCTTATTAGAGGCAATTACATATCAAGTGAATTTATTAAATGTTGAAAATGCAACAACAAACTTGGGCACAGGAATTTTAACTTTGTTATTTGATGTAAGTAAATAAATTGTTCTTTCTAGTAATTTAGTGTTTCTTTTTTATTTCACCGAGTGGGTATACAAGTTGATAGTAAGTTTACAATTATTTCTTGAATTGAATATTTAAATTTACTTTTTATTCTGTGTTTTATTTATGTTTATTAATTTAAATATGCTTCGAAGTTCATTTTCCGACTTACACAGTCTGATGGTATCAAATATTTAATTGAGGAAATATTATAATATCACTAAGTAAATAGTCCATATTTGTTGAAATTGAATATCCCAGTTAGTAATTGCTCATTTAGAGGATGAACTACATTCACAATGTTTAATATTTATAATCTTCTCAACTCAGTGACGTTCATTAGCAGTATCTGATAATCCTTAGAGAAATGTATATTTGATTCATAATTTCTACTTTGTACAGACATTTTTTACTTTTGTGTTACCATGATTTAAAGATATCTTGAAAAATCTGTCAGTAGTGTGATGAAACTTTATGTTAAAAAGGATTCTATCGTCTTTTAGTTGATATTCGGACTATACTTCAAGTAACAATAAAGAAATAAACAGACAGTTAATCGTCAATGATTAAATTTATATTGTTGCATAATTTCGTATAATCTATCTACTAATATAATGATCGAGAACAGTAGTGGGGAAAACTTAACGTAATCGAATACAAAACTACCGAATCTTTTAGTAATATTTGAGAGCCTTACAGTAAATACTTCATTTGCGAAATGTTAATTAATTGTCTCAGACTTGATAGTTCCACCGATTACTCTCTGTTTTTGTTTCCTTCGATCTCCTTAACTTTATGCCTCCAGGCATTTCACTTTCAGTTGGTGATTCATACGACTTTCATTTAACGAAGTCAGTAGCACACACCGTACTACTAACACTGACAACGTTTAAACATAGTACTCTACTCCATTTTTATTAATTGTTACTAAAAGGGTGAATATCTACGCTTCAAACCTATATTAAAATCGATTGAAAAAGACTACTCAGTGGCAACATATAGCTGTTGATGTATAAGTTAGTAATGTGAATCACTGGATTTTGCCTCAGTGGTCACGAAGTATAAGTTATCGGAGAAGCCTAAGTTCTTTTCCTTGCTAGGTTATGGTTGTTCACTGCTTCAGAGTGCCATAATAAGATGAATTTGTTGTTCAGTGCTACTCGATTTTCTATGGATCTCTAAAAACTATAAGCTAATTTATATTATGATATAATACGCTGTTCAAGTCATACTGTTTACATGTCTAAGCATAGATATATGTAATAGGACTCGAATTTATGTCAAACTTGTTAATAGTTCATTGCTTAAATTTATACATGGAAATCGGGCAAGTACAAGAATAAGTTTCATTACAAATTAGTAACATTGAAAGAAATATCATTAATTAACATTACAATTAATGTAAGTAATGATGAAGAATATTCACAGCTTAAATGGATTCTTTTGATGATGTCAAATTTTCTCAGCTAAACAATTTAATTTCGGAATTTAGATTGTCATTCCAGAAAATAACTATTTATTTCATAATCAATAGTAATAAAGATTTTCACATAAATACTTTAGTAAACATCAAATCAAACCATGGTGATGATACATTGTTCAGTTTACTTTATATACAATAACAACTAACAATTTCAGTAATATATTTTTAAATGAATAGTTATTATATACTTTAATCTAACCATTATAATTAAAACAGAAGATTAAAGGAAACGATTATCATTTAGTAATATCCATTTCACAACTAATAATTTAGTATTTTGATAAAATATTCAAAACAAACTATTTCACTGTGGATAAAAAACAATACCAAAATTCTTTTCTTTTTCACTTCAATTCATTGAACTGGGATCATTTTTTTATTGATTTATTTTAATTTCCTATTTAATCCTTGTTATATTTTATTATAGAATAATACATTCAATCAAGATTGTGAAATAGTAACTTCAATTAATGAACTTCTATCATCACGTGATCCTACAACAAGAAGTATAAATAATGATAAAAATTTGGATTCAGAATTATCGAATTCAAATGTAAAATCATAATTAGATCAAATTATGTTGTTGGTATATATACTTTATAAAATACACACTTATATAGTTTGTATTTTCCTTTTTTCTTTTTTGAATGAAGGATTGATTAGTTGTAATTGTGTAAAGTATTTGTTTAGATTTGATTAATTGTATGAATAAATCTTTTTTATGCTATCATTAATTATCTTGCATAGAAACTATTAAGAAGGATTTCATGACAAATAGATATTACGTATTTTTGTATGATAGGCTGGGAGTTACTATATTTTATGAACAATCTTAAGCGACGTTATAGCCAATCGAAATGTAGATGATATAAGTAAATAATCTTTTTAAATAAAACCTGATAATTTATAATGTGCATATACTTTCTCTTTCATTAATAAACTTATCAGAGTTCATAAAGGATTAATAAGTTTTAAAATGAAGGTGAATGGTATACAAAAATTTCTTTATGTGACTTCAGTATAATTTACCTTCAAAGCCTCAATAAAGCCAAAAATAATTCTTAAATTATGACAAAGCTGTTTAAATATTCTCAAGTTAGTAACTCATAAGGACGATAGTTCGATTATTATCATCTATACGCTCTTCAAGCTTTTTATGAACTAAATATAGGTAATTTTAACTTAACTCTTCAAACAGTACAGATTGTATGTCATGGAGTTTTGAATTTAGCAGAAAAATCCAAAATCCGTTATTTTTAATCTGATTGGTTCATCCGTAAAGCATAGTATCACCAATGCATGGTAATGAACGACAGTTAATCAGTGTCAATATCTTAGACTACATTAGTTCTTACTCATGATTTCAAACGTATCACTATGGTATTAATTGGAGCGTTGTAACCATTAGAAACATAAATCGTAGTCACACTTGTTGATTTTTCGCAGCATTGGAGAAGTTGGTCAACACATTCAAACAATACAAGTGTAAATAGTAACGTAAACAAAAATCATTGTTGCACTCCCTACACGTATTTTGATAAGATTAATTATGCGTTCTAATACCTCAGAATAATAATGATATCGATCAGAATCTATAGTAATCATCCACTTTGTCTCATACTACATATCATCTATTTGTTAACACACTTCTAATATTTCCCCATTGTTGTTGACATCAATTTTTCTATGTTACTGTGGATTCAAACAAGTGAACCAAGGCACATCAATCGAGAATTGCAATATTTCTAATACAATTGAAATTGTATGCTATTTTCTTAAAGTTCTATTGAATTCTGGTATCCACGCAAGTGACGACTACAATATACATCCAAAAAGTTTTGTAGGATATATATATATAATTTTTCTTAATAACAATTTACTCACAATTATCTTAAAGTTGTAATAATAGTTTATTTTTAAGCTGAATTAATAGTTCTGTACAGTTTAGATCATTTTGCAGAGTAACTGAGATTTCAGCATAGTGCACAATTATGACCCCGTAAAGAACTGAATGTATGACTTCCAGGTACAGGTTGAAAGTATCATAAATTTATATCACTGAATCATAATTCAGTGATCCATGCTTTAGTCTGTTTTATAAAGCGCAATCTCCATTAAATATTTTTGATGATGTTTTCCTCAATTCTAACATCTGTTGAACTCCACCGTTTAGCATAGATTTTTATTAAAATTTTGAAAATCTATTACGACTTTATTCATCACTAAACACAAGATTGTCATCAAAATAGGGTATTTCAGGGTACTGTTCAATCTCAATTAAATTTTCATCAATAACACTTTTTTTACTACTGCATATTCCGTATAAATTCTGTCAGAAACAATCATAAGTCACTAATTACTTGTTTCATTTATGATTTGTGTATATGTGTCAATTAACAACTATATACCTTGATATATATCTATACTGTCAAAACTCATTTACTATCATAGCACATGGCTAAATTAGAACTTAAATTAGAAAAAATAATAATAATTTCTTCAATAGAAATCGTGTACTTTAATCAAATTCTATATGTTATTTCACAAAATGTAATTAGTCCAACATTGTAAATGTTTGAGAATTTATGTATATAAAGAAAAATAGGTTGAGAAAAAAATGAAATGTTCAAGTGAGTAAATAACCCATTTATTTTTAGAACTATTCTGACCTTTTATACTCAAATATTATTAAATAAAAGTACATTCTTATTATCGTAGTAACTGTTTTGTCACTATATTTATTCTGCCTAGGGCAAAAGAAAATCTAATTAGATCACAAACTCAATAGAATTACTTGTGATTATAATCTAACTGTGATCTGAAATGGTAAACTATATAAATTTTGTTTTACTATTTTGATCTATTTTTGTTAAATGTAAACAACTAGAATGAAAACAGTGAATAAGGGAATTTTTCATTTATATTTGATAGTAATATATAGTTTGATTCAATGGATAACACATTAAAGTCTATCTATTTGAAAATATCAATGCAGCTATTAAGAATGAAGTGATTAACAGAAATGATATTAGTTCGACGAAAAAAACGACATTCAATCCTTCACGAATGTATCAACCTATGCATAAAAATGGATTTTCCACATTAATTCGATTCTTGAAATTTCATAAGCACTTCATGTTTTCCATCAGTTTAATGAAGACATTATAAACATCTGTTCCAGGTTAAACCGATATTCAAGCAATATGTTTATTGTTTGACAAAAATTCGTTCAATGAACTGCTTTAAAATCAGAAGAATGTTCTCATTAATTCGCTAGGTTTTCAATCCTTGGGCAACTTCAAGTCGTTAACATTTTCAAACATTCACTAATGATGATACTTGGTTTTCTTGTAATTCCCTTCGAAGTCCTAATATCATACTTACTGGTTCAATAGTGTTGAAATAGAATGAATGGAAACCATAATAACTAAGCTATGAATCCGGTTACTTTGGGATTCATCAGCAAAGCATCCATTTGTCGAAAAAGCCAGTGATCTATTGAAGATTTTAACACGCGTCACTTAAGATTGCAGTCAGACATAACATTAAACTTGACAAATGACCTATAGTACAAATATTCTCGACGAGCATCAAGAATATCATTTTGTTTACTCTTTTACTGTCGAAAACTAAGTAGCTCAACACCATAATTCGTTTTATTTATGAACATGTGATTCTGAGTTTACAAAGTGAGAAACAGTCGCTTCAAGGCCATCGAGACTCAATCAAATGGATATTTAGTAAGCCTGCAACTACTCGTTATCAACTAAAAGACGTTATGATGTCAAATCACTAACCCTAAGAACCACATTTTGGACTTCAGAACTTAAGTTTATTCAGCATTAAAAGATTGAGGCCTTTACCTCAAATTTAGGAATATCCTACATATGTTAGGTTGAGACTGATTTTTCTATGTACTAATTGTATTCGACACTATACAATCAAGTTCACTGATAAATTTGCTTAATTACACGACAATAACCTTTCGGAACTATTTCTCCATATACATAAAAAATAATGCTGTCAAAAACCCTGAGTTATCATTCTTAGGAAAAACCTAAGTTATTCAAATTGTGTATAGAAGTGGAGAGTTAGATAAAAAGAATAATCTGATTTGGCCATCCGATTCGCAACATTTTGTACAAACAATAAATAACTTCTTATTAATGCTTGGTTCCGTAAAAAGCATGCAGTTTTACCAGCTATGCCTGAGAACGAAGCTCCACAAATATACAGTTTCACTGATGTTTTTTTAAAGCGAATATTTCACAATGAAATTGTATCATGACAAAGATACTTTGTGGATGCTATGAATCAGTGTAAAATAGGTGGGATGCATTTCACATCCGTTGAATGCATAGTCGTTTCACTCTGGTAAAAGTAGTGCGGCGGCTGATTTGTCAATAAAGTTACTTATACTAAGAATTACACGTTGATAGAATGATGAGAATTTTGCACGAATACGAAGGACTTATTTAGTTAAACCTACTTACACCACTACTGTCACAAACGGGTCATCCTAATCCACTTTAAATCTCACTTATGCTTCAACTTGGAAACGAAACATCGATAATTAGATATGATGGTTTCCGTAGGGAATATTCTAAAGAATTCTACGTGTTTTATTTCATTTGCATTCTGTGAATCGATCATATTTTTAAGTTAGTCAATTATATTCCCTTTCTAACATCTTTAAACAATTTAAAACTTAATTTTTCCCCTTGGGAATTCTGTGCAATGTTAGATTAACTTCTCAGCGGTGTAACAACACCATTGGAATTTCTGTGAATGATTGATAATTACAAATGAAACAACAGAGTTAACATAATGAGAACAATTTATTTGTGATTAAAATCAACTGAAAAAAGGGAGTACACCACAAATGCGTTGATTTTCTTTTCATATGAATATCTCAAATGTCAAGTCAAATCAAAGAATAATAATTTGGATTCCCAGTTTACCATAGTAGTAGTAATTGTAGTGATAATTATAATAATAACAAATATCATGGAATATTGAAGTAAACTTTTTTTGAGTTTGAGTATACATTTATGTAAACAATGAGGAAAGATTGATCCAAAAATGCTCTTTCAATAACTTCAGTTTACAAAAAAGACATACGTACATGCACACATACATAAAGAAATAATTATGAGATCCTTATTTGTTTTATGATGAAAAAAACTGAACGAGACTAGTGTCATTTTAGTTAAATACTTGGTGATAATACTTGTTTCCTCAAATTTAGGTTTGCTGTTATCAACCACTTGAACAAAATAAAATGCAAAATAAAACATTGAAAATTATTTCATTCTAAAAAAGTTGTACGTATGACATTGTAGAAAAAAGACAGTATAAATGATAATGACAAGAGAAAATAAGTGAAATAGCGAATAATGGTAGTAATAACTGAGATATATTGAATATATAAAAATATGTGTTTATATCGTTAAAAGTTTATCCTGTATCATTTTTACTGGGTTGATAGAGAAAAAAAACAAAGCAGAGTAAATGAATAGATGGGCAAAGTGCAGTAGATCAAAAACTACATGCGATAGTCAGACAAGATAGCACGATCATTACTGTGTTATTCAATACACATATATGGTCTTGATTAACAATGTAAACGAAAACGGAGATAGATGGAGCGTATATTTATGTTCGCATATACATAGATACTAATTAATAAATTATTGACTAGTTGTACCAAAATCATAATTCATCATTTAGTGAATACAAATAGTATATAAAAGATAAAATGGAATATCCTATTATAGGGACAGGCCAAAAATAAAAGCCAAACAAATGAATATAGAGTAAACATAGAACATATATTAAAAACTAGTATTATATATATATATATATATATATATATATATATATATATATATATATATATATATATATATATATATCCATGTTGAGTATGGAGCAAAATACACGGTACTCATAATTAATTTCATTACTATAACTGATAGCAGTTAAACAAAAATACCTTGTCAAATTAGTATCTTTTTCTCTAAGCATACTATCATGTACATTAAGAATAGGACAGTTATCATTATTGAGTGGAAATAAGAGAGGCGAAATGCACATACAAACAAACAAATAGATAATAAATTGAACACATCGCACATTGTCAAGTGTGTAGAACAACTGGAAAGTGTACACGCAGTGCATACAATTGTGAGGAATAAAATTAGAAAATAAATCAAACAAACCATAATCATTGCTCTATTCTCCACTTCTTTTCAACCTCTTTCCTGTGCCCATTTCTCCCTGTTTATCCTTCTGTTTACTGAGAAAATGCATTTTCACTACTTTGCTTTAAAAACAAACTAATTAAGGTTATAAATATTTTCTTTCATTGTTTACAACACCGAGATTTTTATATAATAATAATAACAATAATAATAATAATAGTACGTAGGGATTATGCTATTTAAAAATAAGCTGATGGATCATGATTTTTGGGTGATCTCAATGCAATGCTCTGTTTGAAATCTGTCAGTTCTTTTGTCAATTTTAATCGAGTATAATAAGCTGACAATGAGCCAACAAATAGAGTCTGTGAAGGTAAAAAGAAACAGTTAACAAGTTTATAAGATATTACGTGAGACTTTTTTACGTTAATCAATTTACAAAGAAAAAAAGTTTGTCATTAAGTCATTCACTTATAAGTATTTAGATTCTGAAATATATATGCATCGGTGCAAGTTGCTATCATATTATATCAAGAAAGCGAGATGAAAGTCTGAGGACAAATATCAGATTAGCAGAAGTAGTAATAGTATCGATCGTGATAGAAAAGATTGGAGATGAATAATAATTTGAGAAGAATGAGCTCGCAGAATAAAAGGCATAAGATAATCTTTAAACTCAATATCTATTAGAAAACAAAGAGTGAATGCATTTGTACCACTGTGGTCGATAATAAGACATGCCATCTGACATCTCAATTCACTGATTGAGGTTTTCGTGTGGACACCAACCAGGTCTGCACCAACAAACACGGATCAGTCCAACAGTCGATTACCTATAGAACTGGTTGCAATTCTGTCCATTATTCCGTAAGCTTAAAAGTTTCCGCTCACAGCCAAGGCTCATATACTGCATAAAGTACATATAGATATAAATGCAATCACTCCAGGCCGTAACTCAGAATTATTTTTACTGAATGAATATCCAGTATTCAAATCACTATGTCAGTAAGTCATCATAGACGATGTGCTCACTTCACATCCATATCACAAGCAGATTTAGTGTTGACCTCTGTGCACTAGTTACGGCACAGTTTATGCTCTACGCTCTGGCTCGCCCCAGCCAGACCTTATGGGCCCTTCCAGACGAGTCTGTTTAAGCATCAAAAGGAAGTTTTTCTCGTGCCACAATCGCACTCTTAATTTTTCAGTAGAACTCTCTTCTCATACAATCACGATTAAGAAAGATGGGGTGATTAGCCCGATCTCCACCTGACTTATGCCCAGTGGTTGGACAGCCCGGTATCAGCTAAAGTAATCATGGCCTATTCGTATGCTCAAAGTTAGCAAAACGTTTATCGAATTATGACAACATTCATAACAAGGTAAAATATTTTAGGTTATTCGTTATTCAAACAGAATACTAAATTAGACTTCTATAAAAGTTAGTACACTTTACAGTTTGGTGTTAGCCAGACATTACTGTTGACTTGTAAAATAGATGAAGCTGCTAATCGTAGCGTTAAATTGATAAATCTTCTGACTGAACGTTTGAATCAGTTTCCTAAGCTCTTCTAATAATCCCAGGCTAAATCTACACGACAACATGAACACGAGAGAAATGGTGCGAAATATGGAAAGAACGCTTTACTGCAAGGTTCGTTTATGTACAGAAAATTTAGGGTATTTATGGCATTTCAGATGGCCTTAGGCTTCTTGAACGCTACTAAACATAGTAGCAGGGTAGGTAATCATCCAATCAGAAACGTGACTCTTCACTTTCTAGATGTTCCTGAGAGACTTCTATTTAACGCTGTTTGGATAAAATGTTTCCTAGAATTTACAGGGACCGTATAAGCTTTTTTCGAGGAATATTCTGGATCTCCCTAACAGTAGCAAAACAAAATCTGTATGCGATTGTTGAGGCAGATTTGTGTTATGATACTACCTTACAATGATATTGATAAAAAAACTATGCGCATTAGACTTCATAGAAATTTTATTGGCTAGTAATTCATCTTTTCAAACATGAACTCTGTGTGCATAAGAGACGCGTGTAAGCCATCATTGCTCCGTGCCCCTAACATGGTAATCCAATTTTATTACATTCTTCTGTTTCTAATCTTTACCTTTTTAATTTAATTTTTATCCTTCCCATATCTGATTTCATCTAATTATCTCTCTCCTCACTTCAGTTTTCGGTCATTAACCAACTTGCTTTGACACATTATATGATGTAACCATCCTCCTGTCTTTTAATAGACTATTTTATTCGTAAATCAACTATAAATACAATTGTACAACCAGAGTAAATGATATTCTAGAAAAGGAAAATTTCCTCCTTGAATTGTCTGAACTCCTCTTCAATTATATCATAGGTTACTTCCATCAATTTTACCATAATCTTGTATAACAAGACTAAAATAATCAAATGTTTAATAAGTGTGTAAATAAATAGAATAGATAAAAAAGAAACACACAAACGTACTAAACCAAGTAGAACAAAAACAGCACCGCCAAGTGAACAAGCAAAAAGTGGACCCACTATCATGACCTAGATAAATGGGAAAAACGTTGTGGAAGCAAGTGTGAATGTAATAGATTAAAGTAAATTGAAGGTAATAAACTTCATTTTTATGTCATAGGTTACATCACGGACTGATATTGATTAGACAGTCACTGAAACTGAAGAAGCATCGGAAAGCTATTTTGTCCTATCATGGGACCATACCTTGGCAAGAAAAGAATGTCTTTTAAATATACTACACACACAATTCTTATAGAAACTTTCGTAACTACGACAGAAGCGAAAATTTAACTATTCATCTTATGTACAATAGAATATAAACGGAGCATCGCTAAATTAGAAAGTGAGAATGAATAAATAATAAGAGTATTGGGAATAGGATTACAATGATTACCGACATTCAGAGAGTTATGACACTAGATCTCACATGAAACATATAGCTAAGAAAGAATTACTAAAATAGAGAATTCCGGAAGGGGGTAGGTATTAGTAGTTATTAATCTGTTAACTAAATAAACGCGGCTCAGAACATGTACAATTTCGGTCACATTTTTTTTTACCTGAAAGGTAGAGATAGTGTTTGGATTAAATTTGAGCTAGTGACCTAGTAAATACAAGTTTAAGTGTTCAAATCATTTGTCACCATAACTAGAACTTATCATAATATGCACAATTTATTAGGGTTTTGGAATACTTATCAATAGCACACATCAAATATATCAGTTTATAGATCATCACATTCACTTATCATGGACCACAAACTATTGCTTTTATCGACTTTCAGTACCCATTAGGCACGGTACGTTTGCGTATAAAACAACAGACCCCTCCATCAAATGTCTTCAACCATGAATCACGATTATATCAGAAGTCTTGACCTGAAAGTCTGCACTGATCGACATGGCTCAGACTAAAAATCAATAACTCCATGCACAAATGTCATATTTTAGTTTGGCTGCCGCCTCAAGCCTTGAACCGACCTGTTAGCATGTATGAAGCATCTAGATATAGAAAATTGTGAAAACCCAAGCATGTTGTTCGTATTCGTGTCGAGAATTTGTTGGTCAATAATCAACCATGACTGATGAAATATATAAGTAACTTCGTATTGTGCATTAAACGTTCATTGTCCAACATCAGCTATACCTAATCATTCTAGAGAGATCCATTTTCTAGTAATCCTCATTACTTTATTTCTTCTCTAATTGCTTTTCTAAGTGTACTTTTAGTCCACCTACTATCTCACCCTCTATATTGATACGGTCATTACTAACGCTACAAGTATGTACTTACCACTAATCAAAAACATAATGATAAGTCCAACTTACTTCGTCACAAAATCTTGCAAATTCATTCAGCGAAGTAATAGCTTCACGATAATTCAATGACTCATCATACATCCATGGTTTAATATAAACACCTCAAAAAAAGATAAATATAGTGTACCCATAAAACACTGACACAACAATAGGGAAATAAATATTTAAATTTCACTGGCAGATTTGTAAAATGTTTGACATCACCTTCAATAAACTGGAAATAATCAACTCACTGTGTCCAATAAACGACTCTGTCTGTAGTTGTGTTAGCAACGACAAATAAATTTGTATAGCTTTTAAAAAAAGATGATTTTTTCTCTAAATTATCAGTTTATACTTTAATAGATATCGTTTATTATTTAAAGCTACGTAAAATGTGTCTTAGCAACAAAGATTTTTAATAGGTTGTTGAGACTATTGCTTAAGAAGACGACCAGACTTGAAAATCTGCATAAACAAGAATAAATATCCATAGCAGTCACCACATTCACTTAAACTATTATTCAATTGTAGCGCAACATAATAAGGTATAGAATTGATGAAATAAGAACACGGTCACTTTATTAAAAACCTATATCTTATTCACATTGTTAGATGATGATAAAGATGAAGTATAAAGAAGAACCAATCAAGAACAAGTGAGGTGCTTCAAGGTCACGACACACTTATGAAAATAGAACGTTATCTATCGAACATAGATGATGAGTGCTGATGACGAAAACAATATTAAATACCTAAGGTTAGTACTAAGCAAAAAATGTAGACTTTACGTTTAGAATGTACAGTTTTGAGTTAGGATAAAGGTAAATATTATATTAAGCGTAAAACTTAATCCCAATACTAAATTCTAACTTTCACTCATAAACCCTGATTGTAACTGCAACCATAAATCCTAAGTTCCATATCCTGATCATAGCTGTAACCCCAAACTCAAATTTTAAAATCTACATCATAATTTTAAATCACAATAGTAAATTTTGAGCACCAATCATAACTGTAAATTTTATTGCTAAAACCTTAATCCTAGTTCTAGCATTACAAATCATTGATTTACAATTGTGGTTTAATGATTGGCTGAATGTAATCAGAAATCTGTCGCGCTCCTAACTTTCTAACAGTTGAGCTTTACTGAAAATGAGTATGTGTTTCACACAGTACATACATACACATTAAGATATTCATTTCAAATAGATGGGAGCTTGCCCCCAAATGCCCTGGTATGGCCGAGAGCGGGGAGGGTTCGCCCTCCCTCTCGAAATACTCTCACACGGCCACGCGTATACAGCCTCTGCCAGGGAAGTCCTACTCACTGCCTTCACGTGGCGGGGGTGTTGTTTACGAAAATGAGAGGACGAAAAGCGAACGTCCGGCGCTATAACCGGATCCCAATTCTATGGTGCACATGGGCTCCAGTATCCTGAAGGAACAAATGGCGTATGAACCAACTTTTGGTCACCGGCTTCCATGGGACTGCATCTCCTCACGATGCTCCACTGCCTTGTGGGTTAGACCTTTAGGTCAAAGGCTCGGGGTGTGGCCCCCTAAGAAAACCACCTGCTTCGGTTTGGGCACCCGGGCAGTATCTCAGCCCACACACCAAAACATGATGAAATATTCGCTTACGGAAAATATTCGTTCTTCTCTGACTAACATTGAAATGACTGATACTATTATTATTATTATTATTATTATTATTATTACTTACTACGTCATTTACTCACTATCTCCTATTTCTACTTTTTGTATCCGTTTCGACCCAGACAGCAGCTCGCCTATGGTAAAAATTCAGCTTTATCTAAACGTTCTCGAGTCACTGCCTGGTTTGAAAATTGTATGTTACCATCGAATACGAGTACTGAAGCAGTCTTTCTGAAACCACGCGCACCATTCAAACTGGCTGCCTTTAACGTTCGCACACTTATGCAGGTCGGACAACAGATAGGGCTGGCAATGTCTTTGGAAAGTCTTAATATTGATGTGTGTTGTCTATCCGAGACCCGTATTCAAGACTCTGGTGAAGTACTACAAGTTCGCTCTCCATCTGTCGCTCCAAAAAGCTTGTTTTACGTGCGTTTATCCGGGGACCCTGTGGCATCTTCGTCTGGTCTTGCTGGCGTTGGTGTCGCACTAAGCGCAAGAGCTGAGGCAGCACTAGTCGACTGGATCCCCATTAACAGTCGGTTATGTGCTGTTAGATTAGAAAGTACCATCAGAGTGAGAAGAAATCGGCGTGAGAAACGATGTCTTTTCGTCATCTCCGCCTATGCCCCGACAGATTGCAGCCCGGATGCAATCAAGGATGAGTTCTACCACCAGTTATCTGTTCTTCTCCAGAAAGTGCGTTCGACAGATATTGTAGTACTAGCTGGAGACTTGAATGCTCAGGTCGGGCGTCTAGGCACAGAAGAGAGTCGTTTAGGTGGCCGATGGGGACTCGTTGGTCGCAGGACAGATAACGGGGAACGTCTACTGCAACTATGCACAGACCACAACCTGTTTCTGGCTAGCACTAACTTTCGGCACAGTCATCGCCGATGTGCCACCTGGCGTCCCCCTTCTGCATCTCAAGCCTGGACTCAGATTGATCACATCGCGATCAGCTACCGCTGGCGCGGTTGTGTACAAGACTGCCGCTCCTTTTGGAGTACCTATCTGGAATCTGATCATGCTCTGGTCTGCGCCAATCTTACCTTACTTTTCAGTGGACAACGAAGTGACCGCCACCACAGGATTGATGTTAGCAAGCTTGCTGCAACTTCTGTTGCTAGTAAGTACCGAACCGAGCTAGCTTCTAGGCTAGCCACTATTCCACCGAAAAGTATAGATGAGCATTGGTTGCAATTGCATGACGCCATGAAAATGGCGGGTCAAGTCAGCTGTGGGATTGCGAAACGTCCCGCTTACAAGCACTGGGTTTCTTCTGGTTCCTTACAACTGATTGAAGCCCGTCGGTCTACTCCGGGTGACCGTGAGTTTGACCACAGACGAAGGTTGTTACGTAATGAAATCGGGCAAAGCTTGCGTAAGGACCGAGAAACCTGGTGGTCGGAGCGTGCCAGTGAGTTGGAAGCAGCAGCTGCATCTGGTAATTACCGGAAGCTCTTCCAACTCATCCGAGCCACTGGCAGCAAGAAGTCTGGTGTGAGCGAAACAATCTGCGAGGATGACGGAACGCCAATCACTAACATCCATCGACGTCTTGGACGATGGGCAGAATTCTTTGAAGGGCAGTTCAACTGGCCTGCTGCTCCGGCAACATCGGTCAGACTGTCCTGCCCTCCTTGGCCGGTGACGACTGATCCACCAAATGAGGCGGAAGTCCGCAAGGAACTCCAACTCTTGAAACGTTACAAATCACCAGGCCCAGACGACTTACCCCCGGCTCTTTTTAAAGATGGTGGTGACTTTCTGACTAAAGGACTGACGACGTTGTTTACAAAGATCTGGGAACTAGAGAGTGTACCAACGTCATGGAATGAGTCGATAGTTGTCCCTATCTTTAAAAAGGGTTCACGTTGTTCCTGTAACAACTATCGGGGGATAAGTCTACTTCCGATTGCGTCCAAGCTATTGGCTTCCGTCATACTTCGTAGGTTGTTCAGAACCCGAGAAGGATTGACTCGCGAGGAGCAGGCTGGGTTTCGTTCTGGTCGAGGATGTATTGATCATATCTTCACCCTCCGCCAAGTGTTAGAACACCGCCATACTTATCAAAGGCCAACAATCGTAGTGTTTCTTGATATCAAGGCTGCTTTCGATTCGTTGGACAGAACTGTTCTCTGGGATTGTCTATTGAAGAAGGGTGTGCCTGAGAAGTTTATTAACATCCTAAAAGCCTTATATACAAACACCTCAGGTAGAGTGAGGGCATACAACCACCTTTCTCCACTATTCCATTCAAGCAGTGGAGTTAGGCAGGGTTGCCCAATCTCACCATTCCTCTTCAACTTTGCCATCGATGACATTCTGGAAACAGCTCTGACGGATGTAAGTAATGGTGGTGTGGATCTGTTGCCTGGAGAAAGACTTCTCGACCTTGAGTATGCGGATGATATTGTCTTACTGTGCGAGAATGCCCAAGCCATGCAATCCGCACTTAATCAGTTGGCAATCAGTGTCCGTAGGTATGGTATGTGCTTTGCACCTTCGAAGTGCAAAGTACTTCTACAAGACTGGCAGGATTCTAATCCTGTACTCACTCTGGATGGTGAGCAGATTGAAGTAGTCGAGAAGTTCGTGTATCTAGGTAGCTGCATAAGTGCTGGTGGTGGCGTGAGTGATGAGATCAATGCACGTATAGTGAAAGCCAGAGCGGCTTATGCCAATCTGGGCCATCTTTGGCGCCTTCGTGATGTTAGTCTGGCTGTAAAAGGTCGGATCTACAACGCGACGGTGAGAGCAGTTTTGCTCTATGCTTGTGAAACCTGGCCTCTCCGAGTTGAGGATGTTCGACGACTCTCTGTGTTCGATCATCGTTGCCTCCGAAGGATTGCTGGCATCCAGTGGCAACACCATGTCAGTAATGCAGAGGTTCGGCATCGAGTGTTCGGTCACAGAGACGATAATGAAATTGGTGTCACCATCTTGAAACACCGACTTCGGTGGCTTGGACATGTTCTACGAATGTCGTCCCAGAGAATTCCTCGTCGTGCATTATTTGCCGACTCTGGGACTGGTTGGAAAAAGCGGAGAGGTGGTCAGTATATGACATGGTGTCGTGGTATGAAAGAAAGCTGCAAAGGGCTAGCTTATGTTGGTCCTTCACGACTCCCTGGTTGGGGTCCGAGAGATGGTGTAACGCAGTGGCTAGAGACGTTATCAGATATGGCTCAGAATAGAAGCCAGTGGCGATCCTGCTGTAACCTTCTTTTACTTTCTTCATAAAAAGGTGGTCATATTCTTCCTTAACTGAAAGATCTGTTCTGATTGTACCTTTCCGTTTCCCCCACCATTGTTCTCTCTCTCTCTCTTCTTTTTTTTTTATAATTCCCCACGTTCATTACTTTTTTTTTTTTTTTCTTCTCTTTTCTCCTTCTCTTCTAATTATCACTGTTTTGTGTGGCGCATATATATTTGGTGCCCCCCTGTACCAATATTTATGTGTTCAAATAAATAAATAATAAATGATGGGAGCTTGTCGGTCGATAGGCTTATTCGTTACATTGAATTAACTGTCAACAAACCCGGCACAAATATTCAGTCTGAAATTCTGATAAACCAAATGAATGTTCTTATCGCAAATTCGAACACGAATATTGAACAATTGGAATCAACTGTTCTGAACTGCTTGCACTAGGCATTTAGTATAAACTCGGTACTTGTTTAGGAAAATGGGATATTGTAAATACTTCTTGTTAGCGGGACACAGATTGAATTAAAGCATGTTCCATGCACGATTCTGTTGGTGCACGCTGATTGACTGTTTCTTATCCAATCAGCGCTAGTCGATACTTGGGGAAGACTAGAATCTTCTCATGTAAAAACTATAAATATACTGTTTTTCTTATTGTGCTTCATACTTCCATCTACCCTTGTTATTTGTAATATAATTTCTTTCCTGTTCAACTGTGTTCTGATTTGGGGACTTGTCGAGTGAATTGGTGTCCAAGAATACTACGCGATACAAATAGCTGGGTCGTAATAAGAGAGAAGTATAACACTTCTTTTACAAAATAAACTATTTAATGGTCAATCAATTGTAAAATCATTTAATTAAATATTAATGGCAATGTTCAAAAAGCGTATGTTTTTATTGTCGGAAAACAAGCACTGAGAAAAATGAGATTCTGAGAGATAAATAATTGCCACAGATTTATTTGAGTGATACGGAAGATGATATTATTCCTAATTTTACCGCTATGTTAAGGTCTATTTTATTAGATGCATAGTAATTATCCCTAAGTTACTGATTAAACAAGAAAAAGACCCATAACATTTTGAGGAATATAAAAGATGAGTGAATTATATGTTTAGAATTATAAACGGGGATTTCTCGACATCAAATTTCACCAAGCACATTTAGTCTTATAAATAAATAAAACGTTTTACTGATACATAATATATGCAACTATACGATTTTCCAATCCGTGGTTCACATGATATTCTAAAAGTGAATAATAGAATGTTCCAAGAAGCAGAATTACAACCACGAATAAATTACAGTCCCATATTCTTTTCAAATTGCTTACCACTATTCTTTAACTAAGAAGAAATTGTTGAAATGCTCGGGGTGAAAAACGTACCAGGTCACTATAATGCAATAAGTGACCCTAATAGTAAATGAATGATATCTATAGCTGCAATTTTCATCGATGTAAATGTATTATTCAAAGGAGACGAATGTATGAAAGGTTGAATATATTTTTATGAAGATTTTATCAGTTGACTACAATTATGAAGGCTTTGGACAAAATACTGAATGAACATATACTTATATGAATGAAGAGTATAAAATGATTGATTTTGTGAATCATGCTCTAATTCATCTTTGCTTAAATACAATCTGGGATTCTAAGTGAACTACTACAGCCGAAGGTGGGGAGTCAGCTCTCCCTCTTGAAATGCTCTTACGAGGCCACACGTATACAGCCACTGTCAGGGAAGTCCTACTCACTGCCTTCTCGTGTCGGGGGTATTATTCACAAAATTAAGAGGACGAAAAGCGAATGTCTGACTCTTTGACCGGGTTGGTGGATAGAGAGGATACACCTAGGGGTGCTAAAAAACCCTAACTCCAAACCAATGATGCAGACGGGCTCCAGGATTCTAAGGGAAAAAATAGCATATGAACCTATCGTTGGTCACAGGTTACTATTGGACTCCATCTCCTAACGTTGCTCCACTGCCTTGTGGATTCTTCCTTCAGGTCGAAGGCTCGGGGTGTGCCCTTTAAGAGAACCATCCGCCTCGGTTTGGGCACCCGGGTAGTATCCCAGTCCTCACACAAATCAATGGTAACCACTACTAGTCTCGTTGTTATTGTGTGGCCCATATGTACTGGGTGCCCTCATGTATCAATGTTTATGTGTTTAAATAATAAATAATGCGACTGACCCTTATAAAATAGCCAAGATCACAGGCCGGTACATAACTAAGACGTACTTACATCATTATTACTCATAAAATTAAATAGACAATGCTCTTATCATGCCCATTAATTTGAATTCATATAGGTTCGTCTATGGAATGTGAACTGGTTACTATTTTATAACAAATGGTCTAGTAGTTATAAGAAAATAATATAAACATGTAAGTGGTTTATTAAGCACAAGATTAGAAAGCAGCATTAATAAGAATGATTTTAAAAAACATCCTTACCATAATGTGTCAAGTTAAAAATATAGTTGAAATCAGGAGAATAATATCGATTGGCGTGATAATTTGGTAGATTGGGTGAGTTTCCCAGATTAACAAAAGGAGGTCTGAAACCATTTTGAGACTCAGAAGGATTATAGCCGAAATTGAGATTTTGATAATAGTAGGCAAGACGAGCTGTATATGTTTCCGCCAGATAATCTTTACGATCTCGTAACTCTGACAAAGAAGGAGCAACACGGCCATCAGGACCAGGACGTCGTGCACCTGGTCCATGCCAAACATCAGCTAACTCAGCAGTACAAATCGAGTTGAACATTGCCCAACAAAATGTAGGGACAACAAGGAATGCTAAAAATATTAACCATACAATTATGGTTACATATGTGGTGCACATGAACTATTTGTTTAAGAAAAAGGAAAGGAAAAAATCAAAAGGATATAATAATGAAATGCAAAAAAGTGTAATGTTGCATAAAAATATGTCAGCTAATTATAAATACGAAACTTAACAATAACTACAGAGATACATACTCTTATTTTGCAAGTGCCATTGATAACTACAAAAAGCTCTTCATCCCTGGCTGGAAAACCTAGCCCCAATACTTCGGAAGCACTGAGAATTGACTTTATCAGTATATTTAATGACAGAAATAGGTAAAAATGGGTAAACTGGATTTTCAATACAAACATCATTAGTTTTGTCAAGTCAAATAGTAACTAATCATAAACACTCAAACAATTGTGAAAGTTTCAGTAGGAAGCCATTGGATCTGTGAGATAGATGTTTGATAATTCGATTAATCGACAAATTTAACCACAAGATATTTTAAACAACTGAATACTTTACGATGTATTTATAAATGTCAACCGTTGTTCGTCAAAACATTCTGGCTCAGATTAACATATCCGTTTTCTTAACATTGTCATCTAGTAGAAAGGTTTACTTGAACACAGATAATAGTTAGACACAAATAAACAATCTAAGAAACATTTTATGAATTTCAAAATCAGTAACATCAGTACTTTTATCCGCTTTTTGTTATACTTGTTTGAATAATAATAACCCGAAAAAGGGTTCGACTGGATAAAATTGGTAGATAATTATCAAAAATTTATTTATCCCTACATTTTAATTACACGTGATGAACAAGTGAGATTGTGTATGTACACTACGAAACAAATAATATCTTTATACTCTGATCCCACAATCAACTGATGACCTTTAAACTATCAAAATCCCTCCCGAAACGTTCTTTCTTTCGGGAGATAAAATCAGATACGAAATCATGATAAAGATCATACTTCTAGTAAACTAAAAAACAAAACTCAATACCCCTTACGATCAAATAACCATGGAATGTGACATAACTTAAAGAAACATTACTTGACATGGTGCAAGTGAATTCTGTTAGGAGAGTAAAGGGTACTTCAGTACAATTTAGTACAAGTAATTCCAAACTAAAAAGTAAGTAAATTGTAAACTTCCTGTAAATTTCTAGGGTATTTATTTGTTTTACGAATCAAAATTAATCACTAATCTGTATCAAGAAGAACTATTGATTGACTTATAATCAATGGGTTGTAGGTCGCAACCGAATTTAACTGACCAAGATTTGAGTAGCTTTTAAACAGCAAATACGACTCGTAACCTGAGGGGTAGACCCGAGTTGTGTTCATTGAAATTTAATCTATTCAACTTATTAGTTATTTTGATGTTGTCGCTGTTATATCTTACCGAAGATTAAACTACGAGTAACTGGTCGAACGTCATTGGTTTAGCACAGTAAAGGATTGAATAAGCCGTATTTCGATTGGTAAATAAACCACGTGATAAAAAAGTGGGCTTAAAGTCACAACAGTCGCCTTCAAACTAAGAAAAATTTGTAGTATAGGCGTTTGTGGGGATTTTCGAATTTTATAGTTGAAATTACAGGTTGATGCGAGTCCTTGATGTAAACTACTAGAGATAACTTTTCTCTGTGTTGATGACTTCGGGGTTATACTTAGAAATCCTGGAAAATAAACTACATAAAAGAATAACATCTTATGACTTTCCACACACCATAAAAGAATTCTAGTAAATTCTGTGCAGGAGTACATGCGGTTTATAATAGACAAACCGATTTGTCGAAAATAACTACAAAATTCTTACCAGAGCTGCTGAACAACGCCCACCCATAATGTAGCGATCACCACGATAGATGCGGCCACGAGTAGCATTATTCACAAGTGTTGAGAAAATTAGTATAAGAAAAGCGAGTAGAACGGCCACTGCCCCATTCACAACTGCAGCTATTCTTAGATAAGGTAAACTGAAAGTTAAAGAACAATTGATATAACTAACATTAATGACTTCTAAAAAGGTCAGAAAGAAGTAAATCAAAAGTAACTCAGTGACAAAGTCACAATCAACGTAGAACCTGGTACGAGTGCATGTTGGCTAGCACGATGAGATGAATAAAGAAGAAAGAAAAATAATGTATTAGCAATGACAACTAACGTATGACTTTACAGAAAAGATGTTTTGAAAGATAATCAAAGAAAGATTTGTTACCCGAAAATGATATGTGGAGCTCATTGACTTTCAAAACTTATATTTAAAAAGCTCAGTAAATGGATACTACGGGATCAGTCATATGTAATATCAAAATATTTGCGAGAAACAATCGGAATCATAGGATGGCTTTTCATCTCAATAAAATTTGCTTGCTATAAAACCTATGATGAGTTATATTTTTACATAGATGAGATATACACTAACGAACATACCAGACCTTGAGGATGTAATTTGTAAACCAAAAACTCAAAGCGTTTGTTAGTATATAAATCGTATCAATTGTACTAGAACTAATGATAAGATTGAATAGGTTTTATTAAAACAGATACTCATGAACGAGGATGATTTATGTGCAGTATCTTATAAAAAACGCTAATACCTAGATACATTTCGTAAAATTGAATTCACTATGGACTAAGGGATATTTCAGACCACTTGTATCATTGAAAAATAAAGTTCGGTGACCAATTAGTTACTGATGTATTCCAGTTTAAAAAGTTAATCTGGAGTATTCGTTTGGAAAATGTAGCAACAATAAACATTCACAAAAAGTACAAGCTATATATGTGAGTATGGATCCTATTTCGTTTAGTTTTAAAAGGTTGTACAATACAGAGAATAGCATTCATTGAATAGTGTACAATGTTAAACGTTAGCCATAGTTTTAAGTTAAAACCAACTTGAGGATTCTCTGCAGTTGGTACACTTAGCAACAACTTTACCAAAACAAAATGAATGACAACATATTCTCCCAATTAAAATAATAAACAAAACATTAAAATGTTAGTAACTTACGAGTAGACAGGAAAAAAATACAACCGAAAGTATGTATCGATACGTGATATTCCAGAATAAATTGTACCACACAATACACCACCTCCAACAAGTACTAAGATGAATCCAATCACCGAGTTATAAGGAACACGACCAAGACAGCTTCCTTTATCTAATGTAAAATTAATTATCTTGATAACAGACAACTACGTAAATATATTTGTTTATGTTTAAACACTAAGAATAACCAATGGTTTGATAATTTTTAAATGCTTTTTATGAACAGAAACAAAATTAGATGATAAAATTTGAAAAATTGTGCTGCACAGAACCAACACATAGGTTTTACATAACAAGGCTTTGAGATGAATTCAAAAACTAGTTAGGTGTCACTTATCTTAAAAGAATAACGCGACAGTGCAAAGAGTAGAAATGTCAGTTGTTCCTTCATCACACCCAAACTGATTTTTATAAACACTGTCAAACAATTAACTTCAAAACAGAGATAACAAATGTGTTACTACGTAGTATATCGACAGGTTAAAAATACATTTGTCAATAGGATTGTCATTCAGAAAGCGCTACCGGTATCACAATTGAACGTTTATTAAACTCATTCACCGATATAAGTGATACAAAACAAATCACTTTCATCTTGGATGAAATCACCCCGCTCCTATAAATACGTGAAGTTCAGATACATGTACGACCAAGAAAAAGCGTGTATTGCTTCATAATCTCCGTATGTAGAATCAAGAAATAAGAGCAGAAATCGCTGTCTTGAGGACATTCTGGTGCTATTAGATAGTTCAAAGCAATTGACAAGACGCGCTGCATCTAGTTTTGGTGCTGTTCGAGATTAATCAGCGAATCGTTAAGGGAATCTTGACAGAACTCATGTATTTCTACGGGATTAAACATCACATTTAAGTTTCCAATAGTTGTACAACTACTACCATCACGAACTGATAAGCGATGAGACTATAATTTATGGACCTTTGAGCGGTGCTAAATGACACTGACATCCACCTACTAACCAGAACTAAACGGGGGTTATAAACCAGTCTTAGGAATTAGACTTAGGGTTTTCATCACGAACTAACATCAGCTGAAATGCCAAAACTCCATTGAGCCAAGTGGATGGATGGACTTCGCGACAAAATCTCAGACCCATTATCTTATATTTGATTGGTCCGTCCATAAATTTTAGTCTCGCCATGACGAACATTTACCGTAAACGATCAGCAGACGCAATTGACACGATACACGCAGACATACCTACAAGTAGGCTAAACGTTCATTTACTACAGGAATTAAAGCGCATTCAGATTATCGTTTTTTCCCAACTTTGGGGAAATTTTGGGGTTTTTGTGCCATTTCCCCAAAATTCCCCCAAAATAGGGAGCTCGGGAAGTGATTGAAAGTGCATTATTTTGATCACCAAGCAATTACTTTTTAACAATCGCCACTGAGAACTTTTACGTTGACGAATCAATATGGCAATTTTGACTGATAATAAGCACATAAAACGACGACCGTAGCAAATATCAATATGAAAATATGACTAGGTCAAGACATTGATCTAACTAAAGCAAAAAATACTAACAGAGAAATTGTAAAAGTCTGTTAAATTCAAAATTAGATGATGAAGCTACATTTGCAATTAGGAAGTATATTAAATCTACTTCGGTCAATAGCTCTTGTTATATTACGTGTAGTAGATGAGTTTGACTAGAAGCTCAAACACACAGATTAAAGTCAAATATATTAAAAGTCTACACAATGTCTATTTTGTGGTGATGTGAATCAGTGGAACTGATGCCGAAAGTTGCCTCGCCGACAATTTGGTTGATAACAAGCATTTGTCAAAATGACGAGTTTAAGTCATAAGTTAAGATTATGTATTAAACAATAAAGCCGTACTTTGGATGAAAAAACTAAAGGCCGTCAATGACGACGAATTTGATTAACTACCCAACCTGGCTTAAAACATAGACAATTAGGACACAACGCTCTCGACACTATATATAGTCGGTTTAGTCGAGTCCTTTGATGGAGCAAAAACATTATTTAACCGAGGTAGCGAGTTAATCGAAAACCAACTCAGTTTTATAGCATTAGGGTATTCAATCATGATTACAACACAATAACTGCCTACAAAGATATTTGCATTAAAATCAAAAGACTACTTACACTTTGAACAACAACAGGACACACATTTTCATCGGAAGGAAATTAGGTTTCAGTAATTGCCTCTCTTAAAACACCACATCAGTAATATAAAGGTTTCGAACAAGCAAAAAAGGACTGAAAAAGTGAAGACTAGAACTTTCACAACGGTTATTCTGCGAGAACTGAAACACCCAGAACGTACATACCAAAAGGGTATTTGGAAAATCACTGATATTTAAACCATTTTAGCCAACAATAGGGTATCGTAAATAGACAAAAGTAGCATGGAAAACCGACAAAAAGAGCTTGAATGTTATTCACGAACCATCTGAGACAAAAATATCTCCCAGAATATAATCAAACACTTTATGACTCGGACGTAGGAACTCACCCATCTAAAGGTCATTTGAGGCGCAAGTGACAAAATTAGCGCCTTCAAATTCCGCAGATTTAAATTTTTTATCATACCGTGGTATTAGGGATAACATGTTGCCATCTTTACTTACCTCGCTTTTATTTATCACTTTGTAGTTCATTTTTAAGTCACTTGTATGACACACAACCGTCGATCACATCTACTGCTTGACCGTTTGGTACAAACGCTTATTTAGTCTCTTGTGAATAGTTGTTTGACATTATTTCGCTACAAATATTCTTGATGGTTTTTATGTTCTTATCAGTTATAGCAATTAAAAATTTCTTTATCATTAAGTGCGCAGTTTTTGCGCTAGAGGAATTATTTGATATATGGTACATTCACATTTGTACTTTTAGATTTTATTGATTTTTTCACTTCAATATAGAACTTGTGTCTTGATATTGTTATGTGTAGGCTACCCAAAATTTATTACGTGAAATATACAAAAGAACGTAGTTTGTCATAGTTATTAAACGTTGGCTTGATGAAACTTTTTCCGCATTCACACGAAATACTACAAGTTATTATAATGGGATCTTGAGTAAACACAGAAAACTTATATATGTAACCGTAAAGTTAAAATTTACTATGCTCATGATATAATTAGCCTTGTCTGTCATGAAATAACAAATGAACTAGATACTTAGAGTGTACCATTAAGAGAAAAGAGAGGGTCTATTCGTTTACCCTGTGAATATCACAGAAAATCAATAGGTTCTGAATGTATCTGAATAAAAATCCCTCCGTGATATTGGTTAATGAGACAAGTAAGGAAGCTGACCTATAAAAGAAAGGTTTGGACTCGGTGCTTTCTTTGTTGAGGAGTACAGCTTAATTGTCTTTCTATTATGAATTTGATGAAAACGCAGCTAACGAAAAGTAAAAATGTGCGACACGAGTGAAGCACATTTCTGGTTTGGGTTTTATACATACCAACAAGTGTATTCGAGTTCAAGCACCCAAGGAAATTGTTATTTTTAAGAATGTCATACTCCAAAACGCTTTAGCCGCGATGAAATAGAAGGCTTGTTAGTCTGAAGACAGAAGTAAGACAAATTAAGTGGAAATGGACTGGATATTTTTTGCTAGGACATAAATAATTAACTATTTATAGCAGGATGCAAATAAATAATCTCAGTATAATATATCCGATTCGGTTTGCAACGTTTTATTCCTAAGGCCATATAGAAGTCCATCTCTACTTTTTTTAAACTTCACAGCACGAAACTGACATGTCATCCGGTTTTTTCAGTTTTTCATGTAAAGGTTACTTTCAGTTTGTCCTAACCCGTTTTTATCCATTTTTGCCCGTTTTTAGTGTACTGTTTCTAACGGTCTCAGGCTTTTACAAGCATCTATAGAACGGTTTACTTTAGTATAGTCATGAAAAATTCATGCGAACGACCTGGATGCCGTCATACTGTTACATCTGACATGCAGTGAGAAAACTGAAAAGGTTGGTTTCATGAAGTTTGTATAGATCACACAGTAACTGCTTACAACAAACTCAGTAAGTCGGATCATAGGTGGGTATGTGCCATTTACAACACGGATGCTGAAGTTTTGCTGAGTAACGTCATTGTCCTATTGACAGGTCTATGGAATAAGTTGTCAGTAGACTTCGAAAAGGACAGTCATAAGACGGGCAGACAAACAAGAAGGGACAATTAAAACAGGAAGAGAGATGTCGATAGCTCTACTATCGATGGAGCATGCAATAACACTAGTGATGACATGCTGAAACTCAGCGCCATCATAACGTCGAAGGTTATAGACTCCTTCATCAGACTTGGGTCTCCTAACACAGGGTTTCTGAATGCGACGGTTACTCTCAAAAACTCTATAGGTGATTGGACTCACGTTAACGGAGTTGAAAAGGACCGGGTGTCACCTTATAATCTAAACATCCCAAGTATTGTGCGGGGGTCAACTGGTGACTTGGCCCCACAGTCTACCTCCAAGAATGTCGGTTCGGTCATCAAAGAGCCTAAGAATCGGAAATGCGCTTCGACCTCCAAACAACAAGGTGCTCAACCTGAACGCACCGGAAAACCTGGGAGAACAATAACGGTTCGTGATGACTCATAATCATGAACCTTAAAAACAACTCTGACCTTCCCCTCAGCTTGCAGGACAAAAATCACGGGATGCTTTGGGGAGAGTTAAACAAGAAGCTAGAACTTCCCAGAATAGAGCCTTCGACCGCCACAAGGCTCACTCTTGCAATGGACTCTAAGCATAAAAAACACCCGACGCTACTACGTGTAACACTCCAGAATGCTACCGCCTTAAGGGATATCCTACTATTTAGTGAACAATACTCGCGGACATTTCAACCGACCCACATCAACTATATTGATGAAAGCTTCATCTGAAACTGCACACGAATTTCCAAAGTGAACCTGAACTCTAACCTGGTGTTCTGGAAACTGCAGCACCTAAGAAAAGACACTTCTCCTGGCCTGAATATTGTTCATTCTGCTATACTGAGGGAAGCAGCCTCAATCCTGGCAATACCGCTTAGCGTGGTGTTTTCACACCCGCTAAGCCGAGGCAAACTACTGGAACGTTGGAACCTGGCTCACACCACGTCGATTTTCAAAGGAGGTCGACGCAGCGAACCTTCAAGTTACCGACCGCTGTCTCTCCTCTCTATACCGCCAAAAATCATGGATTCCCTGATATGAGACAGTATACGCGATTATTTATTATCTTTAGGCTTTTTTCACCCCAACAGCCTGGTTTAAGGAAGAGCATTCTTGTATAACCAACGTGCTGACTGTGGTGGACAGATGGACAACCATTGTTAATCGCAAGTAGAAGGCTGACATCATTTACCCTGACTTCTCAAAAGCTTTTGATAGGTTCGACCATATATGTCTTATCACTAATCTCAAACGAATGGGTATCAAATCACCTCTAATTGATTGACTTACTTCAAATCTAAGAAATCGACATTTTAAGGTCAGGGTTAACTTCACTTTCTCTCAGGCTATGAAATGTTCTAGTGGGGTCCTCCAGGACATCTTCTTTTCGTGATCTATATACACGACCTCCCACAACACGTATCATCTGGCCTATTAATTTTTGCTGATGATGTGAAACTCTGGAGAGAGATACGCAACCAAGAGGGTATACTGGCACTACAGGATGGTCTGACTCGACTTCAAAGTTGGACAGATGACAACGGACTTATAGTTAACACTTTAAAGTGTAAAGTATTCCATCTGAGACATGTTGCAGACTACAGTTACAACTTGAGAAACTCCTCTCTAGAAGTATACCAAGTTGAAAAGGATTTAGGAGTTCTTGTATCTTACGATCTTAAGACTTACGCTAACTGTGATAAAAATGCCATTCAAGAAAACCTTGCACTGGTAACATTGAAGCGCATTTTTGGCCAGTTTGACGGAAGAACTTTCCACATATTCTTCAACAGTTTTATTCATTCCCGTTTAGAGTACGGAAACATAGTATTTCCCCCTCACTCAAAAAGGATAAGGACACTCTGGAGCGTATCCAACGGCGAGCCACGAAATCAGTTCGGGAACTCAAATTCAAGCCTTATGAAGAGTGCATCCAATTACTAAACCTTTACCCATTAGCGTATAGGCGTCTTAGAGGTGACCTTCTAATGACTTACAGTATCGTTAACACTTCTGGACATCCCCTTAAACACCTACTTAAGTTTAACTCCAACACAAAACTACGAGGTAACGCCCAGAAACTGAAGATAAAACGCGGCGGAACGAACTGTAGACACAACTTATACGCCTTAAGAGTTGTCAAATGCTGGAATTCGCTGCCGGCTAGGCTCGTCCAAGCGACTTTCCAGGAGTCCTTTAAGAGGAAACATGACCCATTCTTAAAGATTAAGGATAATATCTTACTATGATTTACCAATTTCTTTTTTCCTCTATTACCGTTAATATACCTAAGTTTGTGCCTGGAGGTATTGGTGGTCCACTGCTACTAAAAACGAAAGACGGTTAAGCGAAAGCTTCTTCTATTTGTTGTGAAACATTCGCGCGCGTTCATAAATGGCAGTGACTTTGTACTTGTTGTGATTATTCTTGCTTTTGTGTAATTGTTGCATCAAAAGCATTCTTGGTCTATATTGAAGTACTTTAGTTAAGATTTTAAATCTTGTTAAAGTTTGTCTTGTGGTACCCTTTTACTCATTGACTGACACTAGTGTTCATATTGTGTTATACACCTTAATCTAACTAAAATGGAACATCATACTGTTTGTTCCCTGTGGAGGAACGAATGCAGTGTGATGAATGCAAAAGGTGGTTCCATAAGATGTGCACCCGTTTAAGTCCCACTGAATACAAAACATGTTCGAAGCCTAACTCACATTGGTTTTGCATGTTTTGCTGTGCAAATAAGACGTTAGTAATACAGGAGGCTATGAGTCTATTGACTTTGGCCTCTAAGAAAATCGATGGCACATGCGCTGATAACACGAGCACTGACAGTGACGAATGTGTCAGTGTAGTACCTGCTGTTACAAGACACCTCAAACACCCGAATTCGATTGACGGAAAAGTGAAATCTCCGTTAACATCAACGAGGGGAGAAGTACCACCTGAAACTGGCATTGGTAACCATGCATCGCTAGTGGAAACTGAAGATTTGAATAAGACCGTCACTGTTCCAAATAGTCCCGGTGTTCTGAGAGATGAAAAATGGACCACAGTACGGAAAAAACGAAGCGAAAAGAAAAAAAGCTGTGGGCAGTACGCATATGGTTAGCAAGTCACTGGTGGACTCCCACTGTGAGTCACAAAATGCACTACCAAAATCTGTTAGTAAGAGGGAAACCCACCGTGGCGTGACTGAAAGGAAGAATCTAATATCATCGAATATTATTGTAGGCATATTGCTGGAGTCAAACGACCCTGATCACAAAATTAGACACGCACATGATTTAGAGAAGCTGGGAGAATGTATTCGTAGTATCTTACTAGATAACTCTAAAGGAGTTCTGGTCAAAATACTGGTTAGAAGAGGCAAAAGGACCGAGGACAATGATGAGCCTCAACCATGCAGACTCCTTAAGGTAATCCTAGGATAAGGGAAGCAACGGGATCTCCTGCTAAGTAACGCTCGTTGTCACGACTATTCTGATATCCGAGTTAGACCTGATGTGTCTCTCGAAGATAGAATCAAAAGAAAAAAAGCACCAGCTGAACTAGAAATCCGTCAACAAAATGGTGAGGTAAATCTCCGGTTAATGAGTTTTTGGATAGTCAGGTCTTGGAGGCGAATGCTACCAAAGCCTGTGTGGATAGGTCGTTCTATCTAGGAGTTTTTTTATGCCCACGCCCATAGTCTAAGAAAAAAGTTCTATGAACTAGAAGCATTAGTGGACAGATTAAGGCCATACATTGTAGCAGTGACAGAAACTTGGTTAGTCCATGACTTATATATTAATCCAGAATTATCCGGATACCATTACCTAAGGAGTAATAGACACAGATGTAGAAAATGAGGTGGCGTCCTGTTATATATAGCCAATAATATAAATATCCGCTCCTCTGCTATCGAATCCCATGACAGTGGTACTTGTGAAGTCATTAGCTGTAAATTGGCTATCGGATGTAGTAAACTTATGCTCGGTGTCGTTTATCGCAACCCAATCTGCTTAGCTGATGATTTCATTTTAAAGCACATTCATCTTGGGAGTGCAAATACCAGATTCTTGATAATAGGAGACTTTAATGCACCTGACTTTAGTTGGACTGAGATGACCACGAAAGGATCTATAAACTCCATCGATAGTAGGTTCCTGATAACAATAATGGAGCATGCATTAGGGCAGCATGTATCCGAACCCTCATGTTTTGGTGCTAATCAAGGTTCTCCTCTGTTGGACTTGGTAATCAGTCATGAGACTGAGGATATTGTCAACCTAAATATTCTTCCACCGTTAGTGAACAGTGATCACTGTTTTGTCATTCACGCTTAGAACTAGGGACATGTTATATGATCAGGTCACAACCCGCCCAAATGTATGGAAAGCTAACATATCAGCCATTCAGGAATGCGCTGCTAAGACATATTGGTTTGTAGATACTAGCTTATCAGTTGAAGAAGCATGGTCTGTATTTAAATGTAAGTTTAGTTTAGATACGTCTCTGTTCATATCATACCTGATACCGTGAAGACCGAATAATAGTCCACCATGGATAACTAAACCAGTTAAGAAACTTCTTAGAAGAAGGAAGAAGCACTGGAATATGTTCATCTCTACTGGCTTAGAACAATACCGATCCAGTTATTGTAAGACTAAGAATGCCTGTAAAGCGTTAATAAGTAAGACTAGGCGACTATACCAAAAACAATTGGTTAGGGATTCTAGATATGGTCCGAAACGGTTATTCTCGCATGTAAAAAAACGAACTCAAAAAAGTGATGGAATTCCATCATTTTTGATACAAGAAAATCCGCCAATCTTGGCAGAAAATAATACTGAAAAAGCTGAAGCTTTATCGAAATATTTCAGTAAAGTGTTTTCTATCGTTAATGAGGAACGACCAACGATTCATTGTGATCGTGGCGGCTCGCTGATGGATCCTGTAGTCATTGAGAAAGGTACTGTTTTAAGGGTACTTCAGCATATCAAACCTGATAAGTCCAGTGGTCGTGATAATATTCATCCTAGGATTATGAAAGCCATATCAGATGTAATTGCTGAACCATTAGCGATACTGTTTGGCATGTCTCTAAAGCAGTGCAGACTGCCCAGAGACTGGAAAGACGCTATAATAAGTCCGGTGTATAAGGCTGGGAGTAGGGATTTAGTTAGTAACTATAGAGCCGTTAGCTTAACTAGTGCAGTTGTAAAACTGATGGAAAAAATCATTCGGATATCTGTTATAAACTATGTTGAAAGGCATAATCTTTTCTCCAGGGAACAACATGGTTTTCGGAGAGGCCTATCGTGCTTGACAAATCTCATTGCAAGAGAAGATTGGGCTGCTGCAAAAGATCGGAATATTCCTGTAGATGTGATCTTAATAGACCAAAGTAAGGCCTTTGATAAGGTCTCCCATTCTGGTCTTAAATTCAAACTGGAGCGCTTTGGAATCCATTATACAGTCGTAGATTGGAAAAGTAACTTTCCCCAAGACAGAAGACAAAGGGTAAGTGTTAATGGGGCTCTTTCCTCGTGGGTACCTGTAAAAAGTGGAGCTCCTCAAGGTACAACCCTCGATCCTCTTCTCTTTCTACTTTATGTAAAGATTAATCAACTGTAGCAAAATCATCTGTTCTACTCTTTGCTGATGACATAAAATTTTGGAGACCCATACACAATATGTCGGATAGGATAGTATTACAGAATGATCTTAGCTCGTTGGTGGCATGGTTGGACAAATGGTCATTAGAAGCAAATCCTAATAAGAGCGTAGTGATGCAATTAAATAACTTTGGTGATTTGTATCACTACACAATATGTGGATTCGTGCTACCCAAAGTAAAAAAAACTATAAAGATTTGAGTCATATTAAGTAGTGATCTCAAAACCACTAGTCACTGTAAGGCTGCTGTTGAGAAAAGCTATAGAGTATTATGGTCTATCCGTGGGTCTTTCCAGTATTTAGCTGATGAAATGTTTAGATCATTATACCTGATTTACGTGCGACCACATTTACAATACGGGGTTCCATTTGAACCATTTGATCATTTGTCTTTGTAAAATATATTTCAAGTTATTTTTGATTAATTATAAAAAAAAATTTCTTTCTCCTTCATACTTTATGCCATTTTTCACCAGCTAGCTGCAAAAGCTTAACAGTTCTACTTATGTTACACCAATTTTATGCACCTTTAGGTCATTATCGCGCAAATGTCTGGGGCGCTGTGTTTGGTTGATTGGAAAGTGTGAAGGAGTAGACGATGCATATAACCGTGTATTAACAACATATTATAATAAACTTACTTCAGAACTGTAAAAAGTTTTGTTGTCTAAATTTGTGTTTCAGATGAAACTTTGTGAGAAGCTGTGCTTTGTTGGAGCAACGTCTGTTCTTCTAACTACAACGTGTTTTGCTATTATCAGACCGGCACTTGTGTTATACAGCTTCTCTTTTCTTTTCATCCTTTTATATCTCCTGAGAGTCTACAATTACTGGTACTTCTCGTTTGACTATTGTGGGTGACAAATTTAGGAAAAATAAATACTTATTGTTCATGTTGGACCCATGCTACTTTATCAACTTTTCATCATTGATCTTCATCTGGTTAGTATTCGTACTAATATTTGTATTTCACAGGTTGCTGCCGCATTCTCACGCCATGCAGTTGTTCCACTTTGGTCTTGCCAATTCGCTAGCCTTCGGTGGGGCGTTTCTGTTCCGTAACACTCTTGCTCTGCACGACATCCAAAGACTTACTTCCTGTTTTATACACGTCTTGCCTGCTCTTTTCTCATTCTTGCAAGTTCCGGTTTGTTAGTGTGTTTTCAGTTGATACGATATATTTGCGTTTCATGGGTTTTTGCCCCATACTGTTTTTGTAAATTTTTTGGTGACTGGACTCGACGCTATTCACGGCTTTTTTCTACATGAATCCAGTTAAAATGTAACTGGACTGAAGTGTTGTGCGACGACCTATTTTGAGTGTTCTTCAAAGATAACGGTCTGTGCCCGGGAGTTGTAATTTCGTGATTTTTTAGAATTCCCATTTAACTAATCATATGTATAAATTATCCAATTTTACAAAGAAGAACAAGGATCGTTTTGTCGTAACCACAGCGCGTCAGTCAATCAATATGATATATAAGGTGTTAGCGGACATTCATGTAGCACCTAAATTTGTCTTGGAAATAGCAAACCCGAAAGCACCCACCAGGTTTCAGATCCGGTAGTGAATATGTAAACTAGACTGTAACTTTTAATAGGTCCCATAATTTATGCAAACATATTGACTCTACTGTAGTAACTTTTCTTGATCTGGCGACGGCATATGGCTCCTTTGACTGGAGGTTTCATGTAAGAATGTTTACTGAAAGCCATATTGTAGAAATCATATCAGTCTACTAAAGATCTATTTTACGTACACTACTGGTCAGGTCAGAACTGACGGTGAACTGACCTCTAAATTGCTCTCAATAAACAGTGTTTATTGGGGCTACGGACTTTCTTCATGCTTAAACGCTTTTGTCGAGAATATGATTTTATGGTTAAAAATTTTTTCTTATGATTGCAGAGATACTTTAACATAACTCATTTACTTTCTAGTGTAGATGACATGACTGTTTGAATGAAACAATTACTGAACGCTTTGGGAACTTCCAGAAATATTTGGAATAATGACATCAATCTCTTTTGATACATATGCTTACACACGTCTTAAGTTTAGAATTTAACCTTATAACAGGCCAGAACCAGTAAGCCAATTTTTAATGTCATATTTTTACATTTTTCGAAATAATCTTTCTTGTTATATTCATAGAATTCGATGGCATCCTTCGGAAACATCAGTTTGGTGGTATACCAAATTATATGATTCTCATGCTTCTCTCGAATTGTTGTCCTGGAATAAAAATATTGACTGGTTGTGGCTTGTTGCAGCTCCTACTTTATTCCATTTCGTACGTGAGGTAGGTAAAAATTATACATTTTAATTTTCCCTTTTTGAATATTTTTTGTGTTTATCCCTTTCTTATTTACCAATTATTTTTACTTTTCTGTCTCTTATCGCTTTTACTGACTGATTAAGATGAGGTTAAACTATCAAACTACACTATTTTATATTTTCAATCAGCAAGCAAGAAAAGTAGCAAAACATTATGTACAGTGCTCTGTAATTGAATGCCTCTTGAAGTATTGACTACAATTTAAGTTGCACTGTTTTTTACTTTTATTACTCTCTCGCGATTAGAAATGGAAACTAAGTGCTATAAAGTTGATTAATTCACAAAGATAATCTAGTTTTATAAGCCTTGTTTATCAGTATTACTGAGTTCCTAAAAATTGGGCAAATAATTAACAGATTAAACCTAGGGAGAGAAATGGCGTTATTCGACGGTTTCAAAAGAGATTGAAATGAAAAATGCATGAAATTTGACTAAAGGACAAATGAATTTAGTTTCGAAAAGATGAGTATATGACGATTCTTTTTAAACATCGAACATGTTCATCCTACTTTTAAAGCCTTTTATGACAACCGCTGTTCTGGATTAATGTGAACGTTAGACATCTGATATTGTCGAAAATTTAAATACCTAGGGTGTAGTTTTATATGTTCTAACCCAACAGTGATCAGTATGAATGGAGCGATATATTATTGAACATTGAGGATCAGTTTAGTAGTAGTAACATATTTGGGGTCAAAAATCATCCAGGTGCAGTATATTGTAACGAAAATTATAGTCAGCTACTCATTAAATGGAGTAAGCCATAAAATATAAAGGTCATATAAAAATGAGTAAATAAAAGATGTACTATATTGAAAATTTAAGTATTTTGTGATTGTTTTATGGGGATACAAATACTTGATGGTAGTACATGTGTTACATTAGATGTTTCGTAAAAAAACATGTTGATGGTGTTTGCTAAGAATGAGTCAACCATTTAGTCAAATACATATGGTCCGTATATATATGTATACTCCTCATCATCTGATGGTTGAATCTTTTTGCAAATAAACTTTACATCTTTGGGATAAAACTGTCCCATAAGGGTGAGTCAGGTATGAGTGAGTTGCTTCTAGATTACAGGGCATATATCGAAGCAGTATGCTACTTGTTGAGCGTGGTTGGTTAATTTTAATGATGGGAATAAAATTAGATGCTCAAGGTTAGGGTTGGGAATCGGATTGAGTCTTTAATATATTTGGGTGTTTTACCACCTTTTAAAAAAACCAAATAATGGGAAACGTAAGTTTAAAGAAAAAATTATGCATCACGTATTCTTGATTTAGCTGAATTGATGGAAATTTGTTAAGTTCTTTTGCTGCGGAAACTTTAAACATTTCTGCATTATAAAATAAACTATTTGCATATTCATCCATATGATTGTTTTGTTATCGGATTATATTTATGTTTACTTCGGATGTTTTTTAAATGATCAGTGTAACTGCGTTAGTAGTTATTAGATTTCATTTGAATTATTTGGTGGTGTCATCTAACAGTATAAAGATATATAGTCAAGCAGAAGAAATTTGTTCAAGTAATTAAACCCAGTGATATTATTTTATTGTAATTAATACATCCAGCACAAGTAAATTTTGTTATTGTGTATGCTGTTTTATCATTCTTTGGTAATCAACTTTTTTCATAGTCTAGCGGCCTGACCGTTGTTGCTACCTTGACGTGGTGGTCAGGTTTGCCTATCGTGATGAAGCAACTGAGCTATACTGGCTGGAACAACCGTTCCTCAAGTTCCTACCATTCCAGACAGGTCGGTTGAAGAGCGGTAAGACTAAAAGCAACAAAACCAAGGTCCGAAGGCGAAGTCGTACTGCTGACTGTACAGAGGTGTGACAGCAGTAAGGTGTTTCCTTCAGACAACCAGCATAACAGCGATGCTGCCTTCCCACAGGGAGGGGTGGGGTTAGAAAAGGTCGACCCCAAAAATGCACACCTCGCCTTATCTCACGGATATCCGTCTCCGGCGGTAAGGTCTCAACAAGTACGGAGCTAACACAAAAATTACTCATAAAAAGGTTGTGTGTGACCGACCTTAAGCAGCTGTCCCTTGGGCACTGCGGTCACGCTCTCAGGTCACTAAGACCACCTCTAATCCAATTTCCTTTTCAGGCATCTCAAGCAGAATCCTTCCACGGTGTGGGCAACCGGGGAAGTGATAACCGCCCTCATACCTCTAACAGCACTCAAGACCACTGTATTCATAATCAACCTATCTCTTCAATTCCTATTATTCTTCTTACATCGACTTTCAAATCTAAACTCCCTCTTTCGGCTTCCTCCTCAAGTGTCACCACAGCCAATGATTCTAGTGCGCAAAACACTGTCTCAGGTCTACTGAAACCTCGCTCCAAACTACACATTGGAGCCTTCAACGTACGCACACTATGCCAAGTCGGTCAGCAGGCTTCCTTGGCTAAAACCTTAGAATCTCGTACGATTGATGTATGCTGTGTCTCCGAAACACGCATAGAGGATCCTAGTGTGGTCATTCACTTGACCTCACCTCGGCAAAACGGAGTGCCGACGAGATACACCCTCCGTGTATCTGGCGACCCGATGGCTAGTTCTCGTGGACTTGCAGGTGTAGGCATAGCACTAAGCATGAGGGCGGAACAAGCGCTATTAGAGTGGATCCCCGTTAATAGTCGTCTATGCGCTGTTCGGCTAAACGGCTCCGTAAAAACTCGGAAGGATAGGCACACACGTCGTTGCCCTTTCGTCGTTTCTGCCTACGCTCCCACTGACTGCAGTTCGGATGAAGTGAAAGATGAATTTTACAGAAAGCTGTCTGAACTTCTTCAGAAAGCTAAACGCTCAGACATAGTACTCGTAGCAGGCGACTTTAATGCCCAGGTAGGTAGCTTAAACGAAACAGAAAGAAATTTAGGTGGGTATTTTAGTATTCCGGCACAGCGAACAGATAATGGTGATCGTCTACTGCCACTGTGCTCAGACAATCGTTTATTTTTAGCAAACACAAACTTTAAGCATAAAGAGAGACATCGTCTAACATGGCGACCCCCTTCACCAAACCAACGATGGACTCAAATAGACCATATTGCCATCAGTCATCGTTGGAGAGGGTCAATAGAAGATTGTCGCTCATTCTGGAGTACCTGCTTGGACTCCGACCATGCCCTAATACGAGCACGCATCTGCTTGCGCCTCACTGGACGCAAAAAAGCCACACAAAAAAGACTCATTAGAACCGAATTGAGTAATGAGAAAACCAAAAGTAGGTTCCAGGAACAACTAAGGTCACACTTAGGTAGTTCTGAAAACGAGGCTGACCCAGATGTTGCTTGGAAAGATATACAAGCAGCTGTGGAAACAGCAGTGACATCTATTAGTGATTTAAACCACAGGGTTACAAAGAACCAATAGATTTCTTCAAGGTCTATTGCACTGATGGATTCTCGCGAACTCATCTCATCAGGTTCTGAACACGATGAAGAGCGTAAAGAAATCAGATCTAGGTTAAGCAAAAGTCTAAGGAATGATCGTGAGCAGTGGTGGGCAACGAAAGCAAAAGAGATGGAAAAGGCGGCGGCTATAGGGAACACAAGACAACTCTACAGACTAATAAAAGAAACTGGAATTAATAAATCAAGTGTAAGTCAGACTATTTCGGAAAAAAACGACACTCTCATCTGCTCCCAGTCCAGACGCTTAGAACGATGGGCGGAACATTTTAAGGAGCAGTTTAGCTGGCCTTCAGCTACTCTACAACTACCCTCTATTCCCAGACAATATGAATGGAACATTGAAGTAGGTCCCCCAACTCTAGCTGAAGTTCAAAAGGCTATAGTTAATCTGAAACGAGGAAATACAGCTGGTCCAGATGGATTGGCTCCAGAGGTCTTTAAGGATGGTGGTCTAGTTTTAGCGATTAGGTTGACTAATATTTTAGCTAAAATCTGGGAGTTAGACATCATCCCATCTAACTGGTCACAATCACTTATCGTCCCAATATTTAAGAAAGGGTCAAAATCATCCTGTGACAACCACAGAGGGATTAGTTTGACTAACATAGTATCTAAAATACTAACCTTGATAATTTTCGGACGCTTAACTAAGACTCGTGAACTGCAAACACGTGAAAATCAGGCCGGCTTCAGACCTGGTCGTGGATGCGTAGACCACATATTCACCATTCGTCAGGTTCTAGAACACAGGCATACTTATCGGCGTCCGACAATGGTGGTCTTCCTTGACTTAAAAGCAGCGTTTGACTCTGTTGACCGAGAGGTTCTGTGGCAGTTTCTGTCATTGAAAGGCGTACCTCAGAAGTACATAAACCTTGTGAAGGCTCTTTACTCGAACACTACTAGTCGAGTGAGAGCTTATGGTGAACTGTCATCTGCTTTTGCAACCTCAAGTGATGTCCGTTAAGGCTGTCCACTTTCTCCATTTTTGTTGAACTTCATCATAGATCTACTGATGGAAATAACGCTCTCATCGACTGAATTCTCGGGCATTGGTCTCCTACCAGGAGGTCCACTTATTGACTTAGAATACGCAGATGACATAGTCCTGTTTGAAGACGCTGATGAAATGCAGAGTCTTTTGGTAGCACTGAGCAACAATGCCAGAATGTTTGAGATGCGCTTCTCTCCCTCTAAATGCAATTTGTTGCTTCAAGACTGGTCTGCGTCAACACGTGAACTAAGGATAGGGAGTGAAGTAGTCGAACGCGTTGACAACTTCACTTATCTTGGAAGTCTGATCAGCCCTAATGGGTTGGTGTGTGACGAAATCTCAGCACGGATTCGAAAAGCTCGTTTGGCCTTTGCCAACTTACGTCATCTATGGCGTAGGCGAGATATCCGTCTATCAATTAAGGGACGAGTATACTGCGCGGCGGTTCGTTCCGTTCTACTATACGGCTGCGAAACATGGCCTTTAAAAGTAGAAGATATTCGTAAGTTACTAGTATTTGACCACAGGTGCCTTAGAAATATTGCGGGTATCTGCTGGGATCACCGGGTAAGTAATAGTGAGGTTAGACGCAAGGTATTAGGGAATGATGGTAAGTCAGTTGATGAGGTTATGAATCTTCATCGACTGAAATGGTTGGGCCACGTGCTGCGTTTGCCTGAACACCGATTACCACGGCGCGCAATGGTAACCGGTATTAGGGATGATTGGAAGAAAGCTAGGGGCGGTCAAACCAAAACGTGGCATCAGTGCTTGAAGTCACTAACTTCTGGTCTGAGCCATGTCGGTAGATGCAGACTACCTGGTTGGGGTCCGCGTGACTTTCGTAACCAATGGTTGGAGACTCTTAGTGACATGGTTCAGAATCGATCACAATTTTGTAGGTGTATACACTCTCTGTCTTCCTTTAAACTAAGAGATTGAAATCACTTCAAATCTTTCTTTCTTCCTGTACTATCTCCTTATACACAATCTTTCTTCTATATATTACCACCACTGAATTAACTACTTCTATGAATCCGGTGTTCATCTTGTTGTGCTGATGCGGTAAGGCAACTTGGACCGATGCATATACGTGCCTGGTCCTACGTGGCAGCTGACTGACTGACTGTTAGTCTAGCGTAGTTTCAATAATTGTGTCGTGATGTCAATCAATTACAAACTTTTATAACATTTTTTGTATGGTAGGATCTTTAAATCAAACGATTTACTTACACAATAATCTAAAAAAATACTTGTCAAATAGTAATGTGCATGACTAAAATAACGACATCAACATGTTTATATTTCTGTTTATACTTTACCGAAGTATTAGTTGGTGTAGTGATGTATTATTAATAAATAACTTCATAATTAGACATTGTTACTTATTTCTTATTGTTTTTTATTAGATACTATATTATACTATAATTTATGGAATTGTGAAACCCAGTGATGAATATTTAGATAGTTACCGATATTTACATAAAAAGAAAATTCTATGGCGTTTCTTCTGGAAATATATTGATGATCGGTAAGTATATATATATATATATATATATATATATATATATATATATATGACTATTCCGATAGTATATGATTTATATGATTTTTGGTACAGCACAACTCAAAAGTATTTTTTATTACAAACTGTCAACAACTCTTATTTGGCACTATCAAACCATGCAATGTAAGACAAACTGTTTGTCTAGTTGTGCTCGATTTTTCGGACATTGTTTACGTGTATTCATTGTTGTATAATTTCTTAATTTTATTCAGTTTATTCAACTCATTCACCAAGTACGAATTCATGAAGTTAATTTGCAGGTAAAATCTAAGCATGAGATCTGGTGATACTAACCGTTCACTCAAACTGAAATGGATACAGTTCGAACCGTTCAATTAGTGACTTAGAGCCAAATACCTCAACCACTAAGTCACCGCTTCATCCTTTGTCTAGTTAACTTGTGCCAGAAGACAGTCGTTTGATTGATTTTTATTAGTCTTATGCACTCATCGTAACTGAGATAATTGATGTATAATTGTCTGTTTGTAGTTTTGAGATATAACTGCTAGTCAAGTTGCTTCTTTGTGTCTGGATGTTGCTATCATTTCCTGATCACTATAGCAAATTATGGTCATTACATGTTATATAACACTGGATACATAATTGTATGTAATTTAATAACTTTAACACTGCGACTTTTATGAGTTTACAGCTCAAAGCCTTTCTAATATGTATTGTGATTTGGAGTGCTGATTAATAGTCTGTTCATGGTAGTGTTGTTTATAGTTCAGTAAACCAGAAATAAACATTGTTATTGATATTGAGATACATCTTTTATTTCAGAAGCAATTGAAAATATAGTGAAAATCAGGACAGGTCAAAGTAATTAAAAGTTCTATTCTCGCTCATTTGGTTGACACAGGTCACCAAGTTGAATTGATTAAAGCGTTTAAGGTTATCTACCATATCCCATCAAATTTACCACGTGGTTTACGAGTGCGCCTTTTGCACATTGCGGAAGCCATCGCAATCCATGTTCACAAACCTGACCTTCGCATTCAAAAGAAATTTGTTCAACCACTTTCGCTGCCTTGGCCATCGGTATAACATTCCCTTCAACAAAACTATTTTCCATAATTCTCACGTTTGGGTTTTATAATTTCTCAACATTCATCTCTTGATTCTTACGTAATTACTATTCTATTGACCATCTATTACAAATTCTGCTCCTTCTCTTTTTCATATATTATTCAACGTAGCAACTTCTTGATTTAATAATTACTTTGAATATTAATAATCATCTTTCTTCCAAACTACTCGATGTTAATTTAAATGTCATTATGTAATTATTACGTAATGTATCCACTCAATGAGTATTATATCATTATTGTAAATCATATAGATATTAGTGTAGAGCCATGATGAAAAACTAATTGAAAAGAAATTTCTTCGCTCAATTGAAAATATCATTAGTTCAATAAATATGACTGTGTTTCACTCCTTAGTCCATTTCTTAATGCCTAACAGTCCCTAATATCAAGACTAACAGTTTATTTATTTATTGTGCAACTTTCGTAACTAATCATCTGATTTCAGATTATTGAATTATTCCCAACAATATATCAAGATCATTAGGTTTCATTTCACCTTTACTAGTCAGTTCAGTAGTATACAAAATCTTATTGTAACATTTGTAAATATGTGAAGGTATCAAATAACATAAGAATATCATCATTTATAACAATGTTTAATAGACATTAATAAATATAAATTCTAATTTTCAATTATCTTAGTGTATAATGTTCAATTGACTAGATCAACATTATAGATCGTAGAAATAATAATAATAGTAATAATAAATGTTGCAATTTACACAAATAACAAAACAAATCTTACTAAATTGTAATGAACCAATAAAATCAACAACAAAAAATAGGGAATACAAAATTTATTGAATTAGGTTAACAATAGGATCAATTAAACAAGATAATGTTAATTTCTAGTTTTAGTGTACTATCACTTAACACGTGAAATTTCCTAAGATACGATGATAATTATTTTTATCGAATATAATTCAAGATTATGCAGTTTTTGTTTTTATTTATTATTCATTTATCATCCAATATAGACAGTCTAACATTTTTAAAGTATAGAAAAGAGGTTTAAGTTCTTATTAAATATTATCTTTATATCACTCCATCTATTTTTAATCTTTGTTATTACTATTACTAGTAAGTATTGTTATCATTATTATTACTACTTATATTTCCTCTTTTTTATTGTCAAAATAATGTTATTAATATTTGTCACGCTTTATAAACCACATTACTTGAACTATCAGAGGGTCGATTCCCTTTATATAGAGAATTTTTTTCTAGTCTATAAGTAGTTTATTGTAACATTGTAGTTGTAATATAGTACAAACAGAATTACTAAAATGCTTCAATGTCATGAATTATTTTTACAGTTAACTAAAAGTTCATTTATGATAAATGTCAAAAAGAACGATCTAAGGGGCTTTTGCCGATTAATGTTCCTTTTATCCTACAATTGTAATAGGTATGTGTTTCAAGTAAACATATATATGACTAAACTTGAAAATAAAGTGCTTTATTTTCAATTTGTTAATTTCATAAACATTAATTGTGACTTCGGAAAAATGCAATTAATTGTTCACTTGTCTTAAGCTTTAAATAGGATGCAATTATTAGTTGTAGTACAATATCATAACTTTTAGTCTATCTATTTCAATATGCAATAACAGAGTAGTAAAATATCTCTAAGATTAAAAAAACATCATTAGTAAAGATTACAACTTCTTATTCTTGTTGTTATTGTCAATTAAAATATGAAGTTCTGTATCTTGTACTTAGGCAAATCTTCCATTAAATAATTTTTATCAGTTTAGTAAGGATTCTCCAAATTAAATTTTTAACTTAACCACAAACGAATATTATGTATGTTGACTATTGTTTGAGACTATTCACTCGATCTTTGTTGAATAAATTATTATGAATCTTTATTTACATTCGTTACAAAACAATTTATTGATTAACAACTTCACTTTCACCAATAATATTTTTCTTATAAACTTTCATTGATTTACAATTACTACGGTTAGGTTTTAGGATATTAAGAGAATATTTGATTCTAAGACGATTAACTTTTTAACGTTAATATAAAGCGATTTTGTAATTTAATTCAATGAAACCCATAACCATGAGTGACTTTAATCATCAGTTTCAATGATCTTGTGTTATTCTCGGTGTTCTAGAAGCATATTTTAAAATTCCGCTATGTATAAGTAGCTATGCTTTACACTATTATTTAATTTCCAGTGATACAGGAATAGTATATCAAGCTAGTCAGACAAATATATAACACCAACTAATATATGTTATGAAATGAAAATTAAGTTATATGTATTTAAAGGGGAGAAATGTATGAGGCAAACTGCGAGAAATTGTTATTCAGGCTATTTATTTGTTATATTGCTTAGTTAATAGCACCATCCGGTTTTCCTAAGTAAATCGGGTTTAAACTTGTAACCTGATGATTCGTGAGCTTCTCAAAAACTCAATTTAAGATACTTAATTTTTTTTCATTTTTGCTCTGAATACTTTTACCAATTTCTGTATAAGTTTTGTGTACTTAGGGCTAGACAAGTATAACATTGGTCACTACTCAGTGAACAATCAATTGTAAATAGCTCAGTCTTATGAGAGGTGGTCAGTCTCTATCCAAATGTAATATGAAGCTGGGTGATGTGTGTTCAAATCCCACAGAAGGCGATATCTCCATCAAGATCGCAGGTATGCTTTGCCGATGAATGCTAGGTGGCATGAAACGTAGGTACCTGATACAAATAAGAAAAGTAATATGGATTATATTTTTACCTATAATAATTTAATTTCCAACTGAATACTCATTTCTGTACCGTATTAATATCTCTTTAATTTTTATTCATTTATACACTAGATGGCGTTTGATCAGTTGGATAGCTTGTAGTATCATACTGTCTACAATTCTCTTATTAGTTGCTGTCGTTGCGTGGTGCAATTATCTATTCCATGCATCTATGTTAATTATTCAAACATTAACGCTAATATGGAATGGTGCATGTTTTTATTTAGATTATTACCCCATTGAATATACACGTAATTTACGAATAGAACCAGAACAAGGTATGATTACTGTAACTAAAAATGAAAATCACATTGATAAGAATAATGATAGAGAAATAGCTAATGAACGTATAATAAACGATGATGTTTATAACAATATAGCTGCCAGTGTATTTTCATGTTATCCAACACCAGATGAATCAAACTCGAGGATTTATGAGGATGGGCATATGACAGTTGATGAGCAAAAGGTATTGAAAGATGAATGTAATACTTCTCATTAAAAGATAACCATGCTTTCTGTGTGATATATATATTCACATGATCATTGATCACAAAAGTATATTCAAATCATTTCTTGCACAATCAAACTGAAAAGCTAATTTAATTTCTTATTACATTACTGTTTCACCGGTCTTTTTATGCATAAAAGCAATCAGGACTTTTTATCATTACGATCATCAACGCTAATGTATTTTTATACGGTCTTATTTGAACGGACAGTTATAATCAACAATTTGATGAAAGAATATTTATATGAAATTTTCATTAACCCAACTCTGTATAATTCCGTACATTTATCATCCGGTATCAAATCATGTATAGATTTTTCATTATTTTAAACTGTTAAGTTAGTGAAAAACGATATAATCTCGTTGATTTCTTATTTCATCATCATCATTTCCTTCATTATTAACATTAGTTCATTTCACTCTATAATTTTAATTTTGATTGTATAATAAATATTTTGTGAATTTATTTCTCAGTAATCATGCATTCTGTGTACTTCATATATTTGAAGCAATTAGTTCCTTTTACAAATCTCAATAGAGTAACATTTTTCTTTCCAAAAAAATTCCTCTTATTGTACTTCATATGTATTAAATTTTATTCTTAAAAAAAAGAAATCAACTGTAAAAAAGATTGTTTTATTTATTTATTTATTTTTAGATAGATATTTCCAGTTATCATGAATGTATTGTTTATTTTAATGTATTTTGTAATGAAGTAGTAATTTATGAATTTTAACACTTTGTTTCTGTGTATTGTATTCCATATTTATAAGGTAAGTTAATTAATTCGCATTTTACATTTTAAGTGGATTGTACAAACATGTAATCATCACACTAACCAAATATACATGTACGGAATAAAAAGTATTTGCTCGTGCCCATGGTTTTTCGATAGTCGGTTTGTCATCCTCTGCTGACCGTGAAACTTTCTTCTCTGCCGATCCACTGAGAATTAATATGTGGAACTTAGAAGTTACTTATGAGGTGTTCAGTGTCATTGATCATATGCTTTATCGTTTGGACGACCGCTCACATCATTATTTGCATATGGCATTAACAGAGGTTCCATTTTTCTTTGTGATACACGGTCAAGCTCTCTTTGTAACCACGCTTCTCTTGCTTTTCATAGTCTTGCTGCAGACGAATCAGGTGTGCTTACAATTCTCACTAATTGAATTTCCGATTTGAAATTTGGCCAATGCTCCGATTACATTATATTTTCCCCTGATTATTTGAGCGTTAAAAGTAAACACTCATTTTGGATTTGTTTTTTAAGAGTTTGTATAACTCCTAAACTATCATTTGGTGCACATGGGCTCCAGTATCCTGAAGGAACAAATGGCGTATAAACCAATTGTTGGTCACCGGCTATCATGGGACTGCATCTCCTTACGATGCTCCATTGCCTTGTGGGTCAGACCTTTAGGTCGAAGGCTCGGGTTGTGGCTCCTTAAAAAAACCACCTGCTTCGGTTTGGGCACCCGAGCAGTATCACAGCCCTCACACAAATCAAATGAGATTTGTATGGCGCATATGTATTTGGTGCCTCCCTGAACCAATATCTATGTGTTAAAATAACTAAATAAAATAAATAATCATCACACTATAAATTTTCCCTATAGCTTAGTGTGTACAACCTTATTATATGTGGTTCATTTATTTCACGTATCATTTTGTAATCAACTGGAAGATGAATGGCCAATACTCCTTGATCTTTTTTTCTACACTTATCAATGATTTAAGATTAATACATTAAATTTTGTATATAAATTAAATTAAATTTGACATCTTTGTCTATAAAGTATGATTAGACTGTAAGTTTATTCAAATTAATTAATATAATTAATAAATTATACTGATATATTAATCAGTTTGACAATTGGCATATTTTTATTATATATATATATATATATATATATATATATATATATATATATATATATATATATATATATATATATGTTAATTTTCAACTTACATTTTCCAGTTGCATTTAAAGTAGTCCATTAATAACTAAAGGATAAATAAATTTTATTCGTGAGTCTTATTGACGTAGTTGTATTAAATTACATTTTTATTTGTTTAATTTAATTGTTATATAAAAAACAACCTACTCTACATGTAACCTAGGTTAACTGGAATTTTATATGTGATACATATTTGCCTATGTATATGAGCATAAAATATGTGTGTCAGATTAACAAGATTGAAATTGTAATGTGTATTTTTAAACTGGATATTAACTTATACGAATATTCGTCAAGATTAGAACGAATAGTTTGACATATATTGGGCGCCGAGTATAGAGAAGTCATTATATATGTAAATTATATTTGAAACAATCTCAGCGATTGAAATTTAAAATAATTCCAACGTTTCGTCCAGCCAACTTGTCTGGACTTCTTCAGGGTAATAATCAAAATCATCAAAGAAATATATAGCTTTTAACAATCATAACTGTACTTTGTTAAACCAATCAAGTTTGGATGTTGATTTTTATAACATAGGATATAATGAGTCAGTTAACAGCAAATCGTGTGAAAAATTCAACTACATGGTAATAATTATCTGTAGTAAAATCAAGTGTATATATGTGTGTATATGTGAGTGCGCAATATGTATGTATGTGTGAGATTAATTATTGATATATAATTTACATATATAATGGATATTAACTGATCAAATTTCTTTACGAATCCCCAATATTTCAATAATTAATTTAGGAGCATTCTATTCAAACACAATTGTATGAATGAAGAATATTTTCAATAATTTCTCATCAGGTTCTACAATTATAAATCCAAATTAATAAGCCATAAAATTGGCTAGATTTTGGATAATGACATGATTCGATACAGTTTTCTATAAATTCCAATGATGTTTTCTTTTCTGTGAACTTTGCGTTATACTTCAGGAACTCATTGAGTGCCTTTAACGCATTTCATTCAATTAAATTTTTCTCTCTTTTCATTTGTCATTTAAGTTTATTGTTATTTAAAGGTGATCTTTTAAAATCATAAATCAATATGAATTGTTGAGTCAATAAAGTTAGAGAATAATGAATAAATATTTATTTTTAGCTTAGGAACTGTCAATAGGGCAACAAACAACATATAATTGAACTGTTGGGTCGATTAACAATGGTGCAATTTTTCTATGATTCTACTAGTAATATCGATTTGTGATGAAAATTAATTTTATAAATGTAAAAATTTTTCTTAACATCATTTAACCAATTAGAATTGTGTTTATTTTTGAGTATATTTCAAATAGATTTCTTGAAATCTTAGTAGAACATCATGATTTATACAGTTACTTAACCGATTATATAGATTAGAGATATCAAAATATCACTTATTAAGCTAAGTGAACTATTTGATTTCAGTTGAATAGCTCAATAGTGTTGTACTCATTGTTAAGCCTGCAGATCATGGATTTATTCATGTGTGGATGAAATGTTTCAAGCGAATACAAAACAAGCTTGCTTTTTTCCATGCATTTTGTTCTAGCTGATATCAACTTTTAATAAAATCTAACTATCCATTGAATTATACAATTTTGTAATATAGTCTCATTAAATTATAATTATACCAACCAAATCAATTGTAGAAACGTTTAAAAACAAAGTAGAATTGTAAGTAAAATATGTTTCAATAAAAAACAACTCCCAGATGGTGAAAATCTCAATCTGAGTTGTGTTTTTTTTGAATTCACTAAAACGAAAGAGATATGCGTGGTCAAGTTGGAGAATTTTGTCAAAATCAATATTTCATAATTTTTTTGACATGATAAGTAGTACATTGTTTCTACCAATTTTGTACAATCCTAAAAGCATATTGTGATTTTTCACAGTTTGTTTGCTGATTAATTTTCATTATTTTGTTTATTGTATTTTAATTTATAAAAAATCTTTTAGGAAACGTTTCCTTCTTATTATTTTACTAATGTTTAAAATTTGATTATCGCATTAGAATGGACGTTTTAAAAGTTACTCTAAATACTGTTGTTCAATATTAGTCTAAGCATTGCCATTTTCCCAGTTGAACACAGTTTTAGTGGCTTCAAGACAAGTAACTATTTGTATATTTGTTTTCATTACAATGTAATCCTTAAGTGTATGTTAATTATAAATTAATTCTTTTCACACTTATTGTATATATAACTATCTGTAAACTGTTACTACTGGGTATAGTAGGTGGTAAAAAGAATTCAGTCTGAATCAGTCTTGATGATAATGACTATTAAACAGTAAATTAATTGGTCATGATTTCTTCACTATTAATCAATACACAGTTCTTTAACTAATACTGAAGAGAAAATTTTTTGTTTTTTGTCTTCTTTTGGATTCGATAGTGTTATATCTTCTTGAAAATATCTTCCGTTTCAGATAAACAAGATAGTGGTATAGTATGTGAACAGTTCATAAGATCTTGACAGTATTGAGTAGAGGATTTTGTTAAGATCAGGAAATTTATAGTGATTTTTGTAATACCCACATGAGATTATTCTAGTTTCTGAATTGATGAATGGTATTTTATCTTGTTGGTTATTCTATAAACCATATATTCGAACTTTTTAAATGTTCACTTTTAACCCTGAACGTTTTTATACATGGGTGAATGAAATTACGAATGTGTCTCTGCTTAAGTGTATTTCGTACATCGCACATAAAAGCTAAGTTGATGTGTTATCGAATTACATGCTCTATTATTCACCGCAAATTTTGTCATTTATCTGGCGCTTAATATTGAAATGTACAAAATATGCGTATTCTAAATTCTTTTTTATATTAGATTTTTATTCCTGCTTTGTATTAACGTGATCACTTGACAGAATATTGTAGTATCGGTTGCTATGTTAAACCCACACAGCATATTCGAGCTTCCGGACAAGCCAATTTATTCATTATTCTCGAGTTACATTTTGACCTTGTTAATTATTCGCTTATCAACCTTGACTGTTTTTATGTAAGCGTATGCAAGTGCATTTCCTATCTTATTCGTTACATATATGTACCTTATTTTTGTGTAACTATAAATATCGATTAACGCTTGGTTGAATAGAGTTAGCTTATATTCCCTCTGCACCGCGCATCATTTCGCTTCGCTATCTTCACTTCACTTGGTTTCTTCGATCGTTTGTCTGGATCAATGATTGTATAAAATATACGTATTCAAAATCCATTCTTGTATATGACTTATTCAATTCCGTTATTCACTAACGCGAGTTAAGTCGATGGTTATATACGATGATAGCTAGGATGTATATTTTGACAGCAATCATTTGATAACAATCAGAAACGATCTATTCGGAGTTAGATCGTGGGCCCATAAAATATATACGAAGTTAATTAAGATCTATATTTTTTCACTAACATCTTCATTAAATTAGTGCTGTCAAAATGTATGTGTTTTAAATAGGATGGCTTGACGAACTAATTGAAATTCTCATATGAATGCAACAATCAAACAAGATTATATAAATGATTATATCTTGAAAAAAATAGGTTAAGTTCTGTCGGAACTTAACGTTTCATCAATATCAAGTTCATATTTCATACCAACACACCGAATCTCTTGGTGTCAGTCTACTTATTTGGAATTCCTAATACAATTAGTAACTGTAATTGGTGTCGTGATACTGACTGATTTACTTAAATTTGTTAAATTGACTAGCAATATATAGCTGTGCAAAATCACCTATCACTTAGAATGATCATTCCAGGATAAGAATATTCACATTTTAAAACTATACTGAGTTGATAAGTACTATCTCTTCCATATGATAAATGTAAAGTATAACTCCAAAATAGTTTTCATATGACCTGTTTTGACACGTAGATAAGACATCAATGTAATAAAACGAATTGTTATTCCA